ACTTATAACGTAACAAATTGAAGCATTGAACCAGAAGATAGAGAAATTACCTCAACAAATGCACACAATACAATCTATTCTTAATCAACAGATGAGTTGTGATGTGTGTGGAGGTGATCATGCAAATGAATAATGTTCTTATCAAGGCAACATTCAGCAAGAAGAAGCTAATTATATGGGGTCCAAGGTAGTAGTCAAGACAGACAAGGAAATTTTCCTAATCCCAATAATTATCAAAATAATTTTGCACAAGAATGGAGAGGGAATCAAAATCAAAATCAAAATTTTGGGTGGAACCAAGGTGTTAGCTCATCTACTAGACAACCTGCATTTCAACAACAGTCATATCAGCAACCTCCATGTCAACAGCAACAACAGCATTATCCTTTCGTGTCTGACAGAATAAGTAAATTGAATGATACTTTAGAAAAATTCATGCAAGGCACTATGGCTAATAAAAAAAATACTGAAGTTTCATTCAGAAATATAGAGATTCACATAGGCCAACTGGCTAAGCAACTATCTGAGCAGCAGCATGGAGGACAATTTTCAGCTAATACACAAACCAACCCCAGGGAGCAATGCAATTCAATAACTACAAGAAGTGGTAAGGTTTTAGAAGAAGGTATTGGTGACAATCTGGCTGTAGAGAAGGAAATCTTACAAGAAAAAGAAGATGAGTGTGAAGGAGAAAAAGAGGAAAATAAAAGAGAGAATATAGACAAAGAAAAAAATACTGAAAAAGAAAAGAAAAATAAAAAGAGTGAGAAAAAGAGGGAGAAAGATGAGAGTCAAATACCACAATTAAAGGATTTACCATATCCTCGTCATCCTTCCAAGAAAGATAAAGAAAGACAATTTGCAAGATTCATGAATATTTTCAAGCATTTACAATTAATATTCCATTTATGGAAGTTATGGAGCAGACGTCGACTTATGCAAAATTCATGAAAGAGTTGTTAACTAAGAAAAGGAGATTTACTACAGAAACAGTGGAGCTAGAAGCAGGATGCAGCGCTATAATTCAGAAATCATTGCCTCAAAAGTCCAAAGATCCTGACAGTTTCACTATACCAGTCGTAATTGGGACATTACAAGTAGGTAAGGCATTACTCGATTTGGGTGCTAGTATAAATCTAATGTATTTGTCTATGCTTAAAAGAATAGGAGACTTGGAAGTAAAGCCTACAAGAATGACACTGCAACTGGCTGACAGATCTGTAAAGATTCCTTATGGAGTAGCAGAAGATGTTTTAGTTAGAGTGGATAACTTTATATTTTCTATTGATTTTGTTATTATGGACATGGAGGAAAATGAGGAAGTCCCATTGATCCTGGGAAGGCCATTTATGAAGACTGCCAAAGTAATTATAGATGTTGACATGGGCAAGTTGAAAATTAGAAGTGGAGATTATGAAGTTAATTTTAATCTGTTTGAAGCTGTACAACAACCAAAAGACAAGAAAGATTGTCTCAGAATAGACACTTTGGAAGAATTAACCATCTCAACTGAAAAACAAGATTACAAGCTTGTTGTACAACCCCAAAGACATCTTAGTCTGACTATGAAGGAAGTTGTTCAAAGAAAGGTACTGAAACCTCTTGAAGCAAGTATGATTTATCAAATCTCTGACAGTTGTAAGGTTATTCGTAATGAAAAGAATAAATCCATTCCCACAAGGACAATTAAGGGATGGAGAATGTGTATATATCATCTTGATCACTCACCTGCATGAGCCCTAAAGCAGATAGGCGTCGAGCTAAAGACGTTAAACAAGCGCTCCTGGGAGGCAACCTAATGTTTTGAATTTGTTTTTTTCTTTTTGCAGTTTAAGTTTTTTTGTGCATTTTTCTTCCTTAGGTTTTTTCTTTGCAAGATTGCTCCAGGTACACAGTGCACTTCTCCTCAAGACTTTGAAGCCTTATTTCAATGGTCTGGGGACAGTCCAACTTTTCTAGAGGGGGTGAGAAAGTCTGCAGCTGAGACTGAGGCACAAGATAAGGAGTACATGACAAGTGAAGAAAATGAGGGAGGAAACTTACTTTGCTTTTAATGTTTTTAATTCCTTTGTTTTTAATTGCTTTATTTTAAATTTTGAATTCCCTTATTGTCCCATAATTTGTTTTAGAGTCATATATGAGATTATTGTTTATTGTCTAATTCAAATCTAGAACGTGAAAAATAATTTTGATTGTTTCCAATAACAAGTGATTTTGGGATATTGAGTATGACAGTGAAAAGGAAATAATGAGAAAAATTAGGAATTAATTGAATTGGAGAAGCTAGCCAAAATCCAGGTGAGCAGAGTACCAAAAACAGATAAATTGAGTGTCAACACTTTGTGATGATAACTGATATTGGTTGATTCTTTGATGTGATTGCATGTTGGCAAGACTTGAAAATGATAAAGATATTTTTTTTGGGTAGTAGATATAACCCAGAGCCAAATAGCCAACTATGTATTAATTATAGGACATCCATTTGAACCCCTTCTGAGCAAAAAATAATATTGTTTCTTAAACAGAACCCTTAAGCCTAAATACTATTTATCTACCTTCCTATATTTGAGAAAGAAAATGAGTATGAATGTCACTATTTTTTTTATTGTTGGGTATTGCTATTGTTGTCCTACAGGTATTGTTGGGGTGTTATTGTTAAAAAAAAAAAGTGTAAAGAAAAGGAAAAGTAAAGCTTCAAAATTTGCAAAGCAAAAAAAAAGGATACATGCAAAAGCAAAAAAAAAAACAACAGTCAAAAAGGGGGTAATAACTTGTGAGATTATTAACTCATTGTCATTGTGTTAGGGACAAAAGCATGAAGTTTGAAACCTGACTTGAGGAATTGTTAATCAAGAATCATTCATATGAGTTGAATTTCTCAAATATTTTTGTATATCCCAGAAAAACCAATAATTCTTTCTTAGCTCAACCCCATTACAAGTCTCAAAAGACCTTTTGATTTAAGTCTTGTTTAACAATTGTTGATTGCTTGAAGATGATTATCAATATTGGATTACCTAAATGAAGTGATTGAATGAGATAAACACTTACCTGTGAGAATTAGATATGAGTATATATAACTCTTTTTGAGAGATCATGCTTCTCTGAGGATAGTTAAGGACTAATTATTCTTTGTTGGTTTCTGTAACTTGAATGTTTATGTGTTCTATTTTCATTTGAAGTTGTGAGCATCACCTCTGAAAATTTTTATGTTGTGGTTCTGGAAGAGAAAGAGATAATAGGTGATGATTTTGTTTTGGAAAAACTACTTTGCTTGGGACAAGCAAGATTCTAGGTTGGGGGTAGTTGTTAAGTGGTAAAAAATTAATATAATTCTGCCTTGAATTGTTATGAAACCACTTAACTTATGTTAATTCTAATATATTTTTCTCCCAATATAGGATGAATTCGAGAATACCTTGATACAAGAGTAAGGAGCATAATTGTCAGCATAATTGGAGTAAAATTGAAAGAAAGAAGAGTGTTTAAGCGAATGAATGATGCGATGCCCGACCCAAATTCTCTTATAAAAAGATAAATTGTGTTTTGAGAAAAAAAACAGTCTTGGAGAGGAGGAGACACGACTACTGTTAGGGTTTTGTCCAATCTTCATCAATTCTTCACTTCTTCATCAATTCTTCACTTCTTCATCAATTGGAGCATTGTAATGGCCAAAATAAGTGGCTAACTTCATTTTCTTAGGATTCGGTGCACTTCCTTTGAACTCTTTTGTATCATGGTGATATTTTAAGATCTTAATCTATGCTTTGATGTTGTTTTTCGTATCATTTATGCTTTGGAATGATTTATTCTTGATTGTTTGAGATATGATTGGAAAATATATCTTGAACCCTAAATCACGGTAAAAATATTTGTTACGTTAATTTCCAGGAATGAAATGAATGTATTAATTGCTTAACACCCTAACCCTAATGCTGGAAAATCTGTTAATTTTGTGAGAAATCAACATTTATTAGGTTTTCTTATGAATTTCATGTGTGGGGAATCAACATGGATGATTTGAGTAGGTGACATCAACATTGTTAGGTTAATTGACGTTCTTAATTGACATAACCATTACAAAAGAGGGATAAGGAAGAAAATCAATCCTAAGTACCTTTAATTGATATTTTCTCAATAATTTACAATTCTTTGTCATTTAAATTCAACTTAACTCTTATTTGTAAAACTCATTCTATTTAATATACTTACTAAGCATAATTGAGAATTTTCATTGAAACTGTTTTTCGTGGGATCGACTTTTATTTTATCGAAATATTATACTGCGATTGATAATTTTGGTACGCTTGCCAATAATTCAACAATGATCAATAAAAAAAATGATTAGTAAAGCGAATTGCGGGCTGGTCCGCCCGACGGACTTGGCAGGACGAGTCAAAATGGGTTGACGGACTGAAAATGTTAATCCGCCCCGTCATAATATGGCAGGTTGGCGGACTGATTCACCGAACCTAACCTGTTTTATTATACCTAACAAAAACTCAAATTAAAAGAAAAAAAACTAACAAATAGGTGAGAAGAAATGAAAAATATGTGAACAAATAAGTACAACAAAAAGAAAAATTACATTTAATATTATTTATAAATTTTCCGTTTCTTATTTTTTATAAAACATATATACATAATAATTTTTAAATCAAATGTATTATATTTAACAATATAGAGTAGATTTGAGTCATTAATTCAAATTCCAATGAACAATATTAAGTTAGAGTTTATTCAACTACTTATGATACTCCACAACAATTATTTAAGTTGAGTTGGATTGGTTTATATTTATGAGTACTAATTTTGTGAAACCACTAATTGGGAACATAAACCCATGAATAAGAAATCATGAACAAGTCAAAACAAAATTTGATTACATCTTTATTTAGTTAAGAAACTACATTAGGCACACATTCCACATGATAAACTAAAAAACCAAAAACCAAACAACAAATCCATGATCACCTTTGATTTCGTAATGCGGGATTCAATCACTGAGGGATCTTATTGAGCTTACAGTAAGCATAATCCTTGTATTTCTTGGTCTTGTATTTTGGAGGATTGTCTTGGTTAATCAACTTTGGGTGAGGACCCACTTCACCATCTGCTTTGGGCTCTATGAACACTGGCCACGACATTCTTGTCTTGTCTTTGTTCACTGTAGTTCTGTGAAAAACTGCCTTGTATTTTCCATTGCTCAGGATCTTCACACCACCACCAGATCAAGTAAATATACATCATTATTTTCTCATTTAAGTGAAGTAAAATTAATGAACAAATTAAAAGAAATTTTAATTTCTATATTTTTTATCAGGCATGGTAAAATTTCATCAATAAACTTGTTCCTTAAATGTTAAAAATATTATGAACTTGTAAAAATAAGAGACTTCTTTTTCTTGTAAATTAAGGTTAACTTACAAAATGATTTAATTTGTAAAAAAAAAATTTTTTTAAGTTTTCTAAAAGTTAAATGTAATTCATACTTAACCCAATTATGTTGAAATATAACATTGATGGAAGATGTGTATACCTCCATCTGGTCACCGACGTGAACGACAAGGGCATTGGGGACATACTTAACATCGTACCATTGACCATTCCTGGAAGCTTGAAGACCTTGAACCTCGTTCGGGACCAGAATGGTGAGGTAAGACATGTCTGTGTGTGGTGGCACACCCAGGACAAGATCAGGACATGGACAAGGTGGGTAATAGTTTATTTTTAAAAGGTAATGCATTTCTTCTTCATTTGCAACCTCCTTTAGCTCATCTTCTTCAAGCCCCAACCCTTTTGACATACTTTTGAACAATTTGTCCACCACCCCACGTAGGTGCTTGCAGTATTCCTCGTTCACCTCCCTGAAAATCAAGTTGGTATTCTTCAAAATCAACCCTTTTTTTTAAGTAAAATATTCCATTCATCAAACACACCTCGATTAAGTTTTCGGCTTTTTAGTAAACCTTCTTTCACACGAAACTTGCATGTGTGTTGGTTTTCGGCTTTGTCAGCACTAATTAAAGAGTATAAAATTATTGTTTGACAATATTTTGGTTGAAAAGTTGGTCGAAAAGGGGTTATTAAGAATAAAAACTCTTTATTTATTCTAGAAATTGAATTTTTTTTAAAAAAAAACCTTGAATATAATACTTGACATCGAAACATTTAAGTACGTCACTGGAGCGATAAATTCATTTCCGATCTAAACATTCTTCGTTCAAAAAATTACTATAAAGGAATATATAATGAAAATGTATAAAGTATGTAATAATGGAATCAGAAATATTTTAGATCACAAGCCAATTAAAAAGCGTTTTCTGGAAAATTGAATTAGCATTCTTAATATATATATAATATTCCTTTGTAAAAGGTTAAACATGATTCCAATAAAAGACATGCATGTTCAAAGTATATACTGTATATAGAATATTATGGAGAGTGTAACCAACACTATCATGTGCAGCCACAAATTTAATTGTACATTAATTAATAGCCAAACTGCCCCACTGTGCCCACAAAAATGTGAGAGTGCACACGCTATGGTCATCTCAAATGAAAAGATCTATGTTTCATTGAAAAAAAAAATTGGAGTTATATAGTCTATCCACTGTGTAAAAGAATATATGTACTATAATTAGTAGTTCCAATAACAATTACTAGGATAAAATCTAATATTATTTCATAATTCCAATTAATATATATAAATAAAGTGAGATTTTTAATAGTATTTTTATTTTTATTTTCAATAAAAACAAAACATGTTCATGAAGTTATTTTTAAAAAACTCTTCTGTATTAGTAGTTTTGGCGGAAATATTACCACTATTATAAATAATAATAATAATAATAATAATAATAAAAAATAAATAAACAACGAGAACACGAAATTTTCATATCATAACATTATGTTTTGTGTGTGTAGAAAATTTAAATTACGTTATTTGAGTTTTTTTTTATGTTTCAGTTAAATTAGTCAGTTGTTTTTTATAGAATATAAATTTATGTTTTTTAAACATTAGATTTAAAAATACTTTTAAAAATTTTATATTTAAAATTATTTTAATTCTCATATATATTATTTTTAATCTCTTTTACTAATTAGGGAAAAAAATTATGTATAGAGATTAAAAATAGCATATATATAACCACAACAAATGATTATTTTAATCTATAAAAATGAAAAAAAAATTGTTATCTATAAAATTCAAATAAAAAATAATCAAACCTTAAAATTGTATCTGGATATTTTATACACTATCTTTCTTTTTCTCTATCCTGTCATTATCCAACAATCTGAGCAGGAAATAAATCATATATTAAAAAATATATATTCATATGGTTTACGTTAAAAATCATAGACAATATTTGTAGTCGTAAATGGATATTTCCAGGGGATGAATAATAGTTAGGTTTACCAACAAAAATCTGGAAAGAAGAAGAAAAATGACTCTGATAATCTGAAACTACCTGTAAGAAGGAGGGTTTTTGGGCCAGAAACGGTAGTTGATGGAGGAAGGAGGCCACACAATGTGGAACAAATGATCCACCCACCCTTTCTTGCCATTCACCTCCTTTTGAAGCTTTGTGCCATACCCTTCCAAAGAATCAGACCCACCAGGCTTAGCTATCAACTCTTTTTCTTCTTGGGGCAACTCAAAGAACTCTTTCCCCACACTTTGCAACTTGCTTATAACATGGCTAGGAATCTCATGGTTCGCAATCTGGAACATGCCCCACTCCCTACAAGCCTCCACAATCTCATGCAACACCTTCTCTTCATTTGGGTTACTAAAATCAATGATTGGCACCTCAAGGTTCACCCCTTGGACGGTTGTCATGCCTGGTTGCTCTGTCTCTGACCTAACAAACATGGCTGGGATTGCAGCATCTTTGGACTGTGAAGAAGCAACGGTTTGCACCCTTAGCACCTCCATGTTTCTGTTCTGAGTTTCGTGAATGGGGTTGCCACTCTTGATTATGATATGAAACTTACTTTAGTCCTGCGAGTATATAGGAACTGGCACAACCCACCATTGTACAGTTTGGCATTAGCAATAAATGTCTCTTCCTTGCCAATCACCACACGTCAGTACTGCCAAGTTGTGGGCATAATCAATGACTTTCACGGATTTTGCTTACAACGTGGAGTGATTTCCTCCGTCCAATTATATTGTATTCAAGTTAACCTCTCAAGATATATAGGTAAATAAATCAATATTAATTTTATCAAAATGATTACTCAATCCTCCTAAACATTATCTTCTTAATCGACCTTCTTAATGTTACTCAAGCCTTTTTTTTTTTAAGTAAATATCTCTTGATTTATATTTTATTCTATTTATTCCTTAAAATAAAGATGGAACATATACTCACTAACTTAAATGTTTAATTTTTCATATAGATCATTTTTATTTATTTATAATTTCTCTATTTATTTATAAGTTCCTCAAATTAAAGACTATTATTCTAACCATTAAATTACTAAATTTTTTTAATAATAAATTATATTTATATATAAATAAATATATATTCGTGTAAATATATATAAAATATAAATATATTTATATATTTATAAGTTGGATGTCAGAGGCACGCTTTGAAGGTGAAAGTGTGTGTCGAGTGGATTTTCAAAATTTAATGTCAAATTTGTGAGTGGTCTCTTTATATGGGTTTGTAATTTAATAACAAAATATAATCTTTATAATTTATTTATATAATGATATAAAATAAATTTAGGAAACACATCATATATTTATATAATGATATAAAATAATGTATTTATATATTTACACGGATATATATTTATTTGTAAGTTATTATTAGAAAATTATAATAATTTAGTGATTGGAATATCATTTTTCAATTCTAAAATAATGGATTCGAATTTTATCAATTATTTACTTTAAGTGAATTTTTAACTAAAAATAAAAATAAAAACACTTTTCAAAAATTATATATAAATAAATATATATTTATAGAGATTTAAAAACTTTTAGCGTAGTTTTTTAGTCAATCGTATTCAATGTCGGAATGCGTGTAGTAGTGATAGGAAGTGTAGTTGTCTAATGGTAAGTTTATTGAAAGTAGAGGATTATGGATGGTTGAAAGAGGAAATATCGTGTATTGAATTTATTATGGAGGTTTGCGGATTGTTGGGGGAAGGAAACCAAAGACTTAAATTATCTTATCTACCATTAACGCAAGTGTATTTACCAGCAACAAAAACAACTTTATAAAGTTTAATTAATTAAAGAAAAAAATAATGTTCTATATATATATATATATATATATATATATATATCTTTTTGTAATTGAGATAAAGTTTAAAGATCAATTAAAATTTAAGATATTATCTGTGAAGTTAAGTTGGAATAATTATTTTCATAAGTCTTCAGTCTAGTCTTCTAATACAAAAATATGATTGAGTAAAGAAATTACACACAAATTATTAGTCAGTTTTGCGAATTAAAAACAAAACTAAGTACAAATTATGATAAGATTAAAAAAATGTATAACTTTTTAATTAAAAAAAATTACTTGAAAAATGATGTGTGTGGAATAAGACAATACATCTTGAGGTTGTTGAAATCGACGGTTGTAGTTTGGCCGCAGTTTAGCAACAGAATATGATTATATGTCCCGTTCAGAACCATGTTTTATGTACCTACCTCGCGACACCCACTTCCATCAATACATCATGTTGATGTAAGGACCTGTAACCAACCATCAAATAGTATTATTTCATACCCGAACTTTTTAATTAAAATATATTTTAAAACAATTCACGTCATTGTTATTAGTACAACGAATAAATAAGAATGGTAATGTTTTAACTCTTAAAAACTCATGAAATAAATAAGAAATTCAATTGTACAGATTTAATAATAACATTATGTATAAAAATATCAACACTAATATACTAATACTAAGTAGTGCTAATTTCCCTCCCAACCAAACTATAAAAAAATATAATTTCATTCTCTTTACATGTAAGCAAGAAGATAAGCAGAAATGGTAAATATTGATAAAGTAGGTGTACTTAAAAGTTTCAAATATATAATTACAACAACTAATGGAGAAACATGGTATTTGTATGAATACCAAAGATAATATTTTTGTTAACGTATTTTTATATAATTACAATTTATTGCAACTACAAATGTCCAAATATTAAAGTGTAAATTGAATTTTTTTAATAATTTTCAGTTTAAAATAATTTGGTTGAATTTTAACACTAATAATTTGTGTTTGAAACTCACTTTTTTTTTTACTATTTAAAAATAATGAAATATGTAGATGTAAATAGACAATCTTAATATTTTTTTTAATTCATTTTTTAGCTTTTTCATTTAATTACTCTCCTATAATATTGATAAATGAGTTATCCATTTATTATTTCAAATATGTGAGAATACATAAAAATTCATATTAAAACATCTTTTAACCATACAAAAATCTAACAAATTTATCAAACAAAAATAAAATATCAATTCTTATATCATAAAATAATGTCAATTGAGTTATTTTTTTCTCAACAAGTTTTAGGAGATAATTTTTTAATTTTACTCAATGCTAGTCATTTTTTGAAATTATTAAATTAAAAGTGAAATAGATGAAAAAAAAGAAGTAACTTCATACAACACATGTCATGTGCAGAGTTGGATTGTAATAAATGTCATAATTAATACCTTATTTCCCTCCTCTCCCACCCACCAGGGGGCCTAACTTCATTCATTTTGCTTTTTCTCTTTCCTAAATCATGCTTCTTTCATGTGTATTTTCCTCCACACATATATATTAAAAACTCCATCTTTTTAACCATTTTTACTTTATCAAAATGAATGTCTTATTTATCAAAATCATTAAGGATGTTGGATGATGTCTATAATTTGATGGGATAAAAAGAATTAAACTTCCAATTTATAATAATTACAATAAACCATGTGTTTTGTACGTGTGAAGACAGCTATAATTACAAATAAATAAAAACAATTATAATAATTATTACATGTTTGTTGTGAAATTTATGTTTACTTATGTATATGTTTGTAAGATAAAAACATTAATAAAGGAAAAATATATATTACTGTGATGTTTACTGTTGAATTTCGTTTGATTTTACATAAAATAATTATTTAAATTAATTATAAAGATTTAAAATATCTGAATTTAATTTGATTTTAATTTAATATTAAATTTAAATTAAATTGAACTAATATTTTTACAGCTTAGCTTTAATTAATTTTTTAATCTGTATTATTATAAAATTATTATACATTTTTTTAAATTATAAAATATATTAAAAAAAAGGTTAAACATTATGATAAAAAAATAAATAGAAAATATATAATAATTTCTTTCAAAATTACTATTAAATTTATAATTCAATTTTTTATATTTGTAAATAAGCAGGTTATCACCCTTTGATAAATATAAATATATTATAAATAAAATATAATTAGACTGTAAAAAAATATAATAAATTATTTAGTTTAATTTTAAATTTTTAAAATTGAATCAAAATTTTGTTTTGTAAAAACAGAGTAGATATAATTAAAAAAAGTATACTATTATTTTCAATCTTTTAGGTTGTTCTATTTTTTATCTATTTAATTTAAAACACTTTATATATATATATATATATATATATATATATATATATATATATATATATATATATATATATATATATATATATAACAAGAATTACATGCATTATATTAAATTCAACTGGGATAGTCAAGTTAGCTACAAACATTCATAAATACAACTTAAAAGTTCTCATTTTCTTTAGTTGATATATTAATGTGTTGTTATTATTCCCTTCAACAACTAAACAATGGGTGGATATTAAATGTTCATAAATGAGTTTAAATCTATTCCATAATTTTGACTTTATATTTATATTGGTTTTTTAGAATTGGGTCAAGTCGATGACAAGTATCATCACCCACAATATTGTTACTGTGTTTGTTTAGTTCTAAATTTTAGTTTATTAACCATATTTTAGTAGATAACATTTCTTCACTTTCAAAAAAAAAAAAAAAGGCGTGTACTAAAATACAATGATTTTAAATTTGACTGTTCATTAAATTGATTAAGATATATATTCAAGGTTTAATAATTCAATATACTCAAATTGGTTTTAATACAGTTAATTTAATAATTAAAAGTACAAAAAATAATATTAAAGATATCAAGATTCTTGAATATTAAAATTTATAAATAAAAGTATAAATATACAAAAGTTTAAATAATAAAGAAAAGTATTATGTTTAAATTGTAACTTACCACATAATATATTTACATAAAAAATATCAAGATTCTTGAATATTAAAATTTATAAAAAAAATTAATGATTTTATTAGAACAAAATATTAATGAGAATTTTTATATATTTTGTAATAATAAAATACAAATACTAATTCACTGAAATTTTTATTTTGCTATCATATTAAGTAATTTAAGGGAGATATGATATTCTTTTATTAAAGTTTATATTTTAATTTGAAATATATATATTCATGTTTTTCATGAAATATTTCTTTAAAGAACTTAGAAAAAAATATTATATTATTTTTCTAAAATTTATTAATGATCTATAAATTTGGAGAGCCAAATAACCTCTCTTACGTAAATATATAAAATAATATATAAATGTAATTTAATCAATATATTTAATTATTTATTTTAATATTATAAAAATATAAATTAAAATTATATATATATATATTATTTTATTTATATTAACACAAACTAATATATTTATATCTTTAAAAATATTAGAAAAAATGTAAATTATTTTAGAAAATTTTAGAAACATGTACAAAGAAATTCCATTGCTGATAATACTAATTTTAGAAGATAAACATTAAAAGGCATAGTCTCACATTTTCAAATTTTTATTATAACATCTCCCATAGCGAAATCTTTCTAATTTTATAAATTAATAAAAAAATATTTTCCAAATTCATAAAGGTATTACTTAAGAAAGTAAAAGCTATAAATTATATTTTCTAACACATGAAACAAAATTAATTCCACTAAAATTCGAGCATCATTTAGAATGACTATTTTAAAAAATAAAAGAAAATACATAAATTAAAATTAACTTATACATAAATTGAAAATATAATTTTCAAAAGAACAAAACAAATTTATTTATTTATAACTTTTTTTATTTTTTATTAATTATTTAAGAAGAAACTCGTCCAATCAAATAGATCCATGTATAGAACAGAAACATTGAGAAAACCACATAAGTTATTTTACCAAAAAAAAATCTTGTAAATTCTATTCGAATACTGATAACAATTTAAGCCACAAACCAAGCTCATAACTGAATAAAAGTTCTGTACATATATATGTAATTAGTAATTGGTCATATGAAAACTTTAAAAGTTCAATTTTGTTATTTTGGCTTATGCCCACATATAAAGCTTGACAGTCTTATCAATGTTTACAGATTACTCCAGTCCAACACCAGATACAAACCATAACAATACAAGGCATACATAGACAACTTGGAACTCTAACACTTAGCCACAGCAGGAACCACAGGCAGGAAGAGAATCTGGAAGTGCAATGGGATACAAACAACCCCCAACACAGAAGAACTCATTAGCAAACGAAAAATTCAAAAGGCAAATAAATATCTACATAACTAAAGATTAAAAGCAAAGTAGATAAATAAAATGTAAACTTACTATGATCACGTCCCCTTATACTATCTAGACCACGAACATTGTCAAGACCCCCACGAGGAGGGCCACGTGGACCACCACCTCCACCGCCTCCACCACCACCAGGGCCTCCTCCAGGAGCACCACCATCCCATTTTTTACCAACGGCACCTTTTCTATAGGCATCTGACTTTTCCATCTAAAGAGGAAAACATCATGAGCATACATGAATTCAATACAATAATCATAGATTCCTTAAAATTTCTATACTGTAAATCAAGAAACGTGTAAGTACTACCGAGAACATTGTTGTAAAAAACACGCCAATGAAATTAACAATAGCCCAGAAAAAATCAGTGATTGTTTGAAGCCGCCATATTGATCGCTTTGATTTGACAACACCTGCACAAAATGCATCAAACTCCCATTATAAATCCATATCGAGACAGATAATCAGTTTGCAGTCAAGAAAGAAATCATCTAACTCCCAATTTGGAAAATAGTATAAAAAAAATAAAAAGGCAAAACGATTTAAAATTTTTCTTCAAGTTAGAATCAACTTGTACACCTCAACTTTTGAAGTAGATGACTTCTATAAAAGTATATAAGTTGATTTCAAACTATATTAGTAATTCCTTTTGATTTCCTAGTTCTTTTTCCTAAAAGTATTCAGTTATCCAAATAGGACCTACACAACAGACTTCTTTTTTATCCATCATACAAGCCAAAAAAACTGTCCACGCATTAAAATACAGTACAATATTCCAGGTATTTAGTTTTAAAGGAACCAGAGTAGCATTAAGCAATGTTTAGTCCAGAGCTTATTTTGGGTTGTTATCCTTAAAAGAAAAAGGTCGGCCAACAGAATTTTAAGAAAAGAAACTTTTTAATGAAAAATCTTTAAAATGTGATCTTTTAGAGAAGCTGGTTTTAGGAGTTTTTGGTTGCTGCTCCTTTTTTGCGTCTGTTTTAAACAATCTCAACTCCAAGAACTTACTAACGAATAATTTTTTATTTATAAGCTTAAACGATTATATAATTACCAAACAACTATAAACTTTAAATTTAACTTAAATTTTAAGGCAGCTTTGAAGCAACCAAAAAATCAGTCCAAACACTAACTTATTTTCACTGTAAAGTATCAACCAGGAATCCTTTCTATACCAACCAGGCAATCGAAGTAGGAAAAACAACATCAAACACAAAAATAAGCATTAAAAAAAATATATCAGTAGCTTCCCCTAAGGAAATGACCCCTTGCGTTAAATGGAGTCCCTCTAAATGTCTGGTGGTATAGAAGCTGAAAACTACAATAGGATCAAAATTACCATCAAACTTCTATTTTCAAGTGCATCAATAACTTTAACTACAAAACTGGCCATTTCAAGCAAATATTTTTGCAGTCACAGGCATTTAGGCTAATTATGAAAAAATTGCAGCAGTCTTTGTAATATCCATTCTCAAGTCATCAGTTTCCAGCACAGCAGTAGGGAAAGTCAGCCAAAAGTAGAAAGGAAGGAACGAAAACTAAATACAGAAATAAAAAACAGGGGGTAAAATAAAGATGCACAAGCAAGAAATGGGAAATGGAGATATCTCAAAATCTTTTATTTATAACCTTGAATATATGTATGTATTCAGTGCAAAAGAAAAGGATTGTTTTGTACTTAGTATATGTATATCTATCTACATTTATATTTCCATCATATTTTAATGTATAAAAATAGTTCATTAATTTGATAATACATGTTTTCGCAGAAAAGATAACACAACTATACCTTATAGAATTACAAAACATCTCCAAAATTTTCTCCAACATGTTTTCTAAACTACAAACGTATAAAAAGGTGAGAAATCATTCTTCGCAACAGCACAAATATGTGGTAGAAAAAGATAAGCTCATTATTCACCAATGATCCAAATTGAACTGAAAGACCCTTCGATTCGCCACCAATAACATCAAATAACTTCCTCCAAATGGTAGTAACTGTTATTTACTCAAGAAAATCCACTACTTAGTCATCATTTTTATTATAACAACAACCTCAATAACTATTATTACTTACACTACTTGTTACAATGGAGCTACATGACAAAAAACAAGAAAGCTATTAACCTTATAAGAGAGTTCAAATTGGAAAACTATCTAGTAAGTCTTTATATGTTTTTAAAGTTGGTGTGCCAATAGAAAATGATAAACACTGCTGCAATCCCTCAATAAAGGGTTGAACTCCACCAGTTCTTCAAAGAAAACTGGACAACTATGTACCGGAACAGATACAGAATCCGACATTTTTTTAAATTTAAAGGTATGGGTATGCTACTTAGTATATTATGGGAAAATATCTATAACAACAAAAGAAATTAACAAACTTGTATATGACATCTCACAAGCAAGGATGGATTTCAATAAATACCAAAACGAAATTGACAAAATTGAGAGGAAATAATCCGGGAAAACTGACAATGGGAGGAGGGGGACCTAATTAGCATTCAGATGTTTTCAAAAAATAAAATAAAAAAAATTGACAAGTACTTATACACAACCAGCATGTATTTTTGGCACCTGATGTGTATCTATTACATTTGATAAAAATTAAGCACTCATGCTTCAAAGCAGGATTAACCTATTCTCTAAACATCTATTGATTAGTGGATTCATGTCTTACTTGTCTGTTTCAGCAATTTAGTTCAGTATGATCAACCATTAACTAAGTCGTGTACAGATTTTTCCGCAATCTATACAGAACTAAGTGAGTTCATACCAGATGTTTGTGTACTTTATAAGAGTTTTATCAACAAGGACTCGACTGAAACTAAGTTATTTTCAGCGATGACTTTGATAGGGTCCTGATAAGAAGATATTTAATTTAATCGACTATATAAGAGTATGTTTCTATGTTCTAACATTTGAAATGAATGTTAAATCAATACTGTTCGAGATTCGAGAATAATAATAATATGTTGTAAAATTCCATATTAAGATGACATCTCTCAAAATTTGTTGTTTTATGAAAATTGGAAAATCAGGGAACTGCAGGATAAACACGTTTAATGTTAGATTATAAAAAACAATTTGACAATTTTTTAAAAGGAAAAAGATAAGTATGATTCTAGAAATATACGACTGTTAGCAATCATCAAAAGTCAGGAATTCAGAGATTTCAGCATTCGGAAGGTTGATTTACAGATTGAAGCAGAATTAGAAAGAAAAATGGATCTAAATGTACAGATAATAGGTTCTACAAATCCAAATCTAACTGCTGAATCACAAACCGAACATAAAGTTAACAGGAAAATACAAAAATGAAAAGAATATCAAATTTAAAGGAACTTGATACGAAGGAGAATTAGGAAGGGGAAGATACCTCGCTCAACGTAAGCCATGGAGAATATTGCCGCAATTGAATGGAAAGGGCAATGGGTACCACACCTTCAATTTCTTCTTGAACGTATTACATTATATTACACCCATATTAAATTCAACGTTTTCTAAACCCGGAGTTAATTCTAGTCCCTACGCGATTTTCACACGTGTCGCGTTTTGGTTGGTTACTAATAAACATAGGTGCCATTTCTATTGGAACGGGCCGCCGGCCCAAATACAGTCTGACATCGGCCCCTATTTTTTTAGCTCTTCTTCCATAACCTCCATAATTTCTTCTTCCATCCTATAATTCATGTAAATTAACCAAAATATTGTTTTATTAATTTTTATTTGAAATCCTAAAAGGTTTCTTCACTCTTGCATTCTTCTATATTGCACCTCCATATCTTCTCTACACTGCACCTTAACTCCCCCATCATCTTTTTACCGTGCTTCTATCTTTATTGAATATTATTTTTAGCCCATATAAGCTATTAATAATTTATACGTATTATTAAATATTTGTCTTAATATCTATGAAAATTTGACCAAAAATATAAATAGAAATCTGAACGGCTTAATTTATAATATATTTTCAAGTTCTAAAATAACTAATTTAAAATGTGTTTTTAAAATAATTAATCTAAAAATATATTTCAGGTTTTAAAATCTATTTTCATATTTGATAATCTATCCTTAAATAAGTTATGAAAAATTAAATTTAAAATACATTTATTAAACCGTCAATCTAAAATATATTATCAAACAATACATTATCAGTTAATTGTTTTATAACTCATTTATAAGTTAAATATTTTAAAAATATATTTTAGAACGATGATTCTAAAAATAATTATGAAATATTTAATTTATAATATATTTAAGAAAGAAAATAAGTCAATTCATATTATATTTCTCGATCATCCAATGTGGGACTAGATAAATATGAAATTTATTTTAATTATCGAACTTAGAAAGAAATTATGAGTTAAAATAAGAAAATAGGTAAGCCTACATTGGCTATTTAAGCCTGAATTACATAAAAAATTCATATATTTCTCTAATCCAAAATAAAATGTACTTTTACTTCTGGACCTCACACTTTTTCCGACACCTTCATATTTTATAAATTTCAATATTTTTCCTATTTTTTAAATATATATATATATATATATATATATATATATAATAGTTAAAATATGGAATATTTTGGAATTTTAAATAGCGAGTAATAATTTCAAATTATTTTTTATTACTGTTTGGAACAATCATTTTGAAGGACGTCTAACCTTATTTTAAATGTATAATCCAAAATGTGTCTAATATTATTCAAGTTATAACATCTCTTGTCCTATTAATATAATTTCATGATATATTTTTTCTTGTAATTTCTTATTTGAAAGAAATGTAAATAATACTCATTTTACATAATTTGGAGTATCTTTTACCACTGTTTTAAAACTATCATTTTGAAAATTGTTTGACCTATGCCAAGATGTATAATATAAATTTTATAATAGGAGATGTACCTTGTGAAACACTTGTTTCATTTTGTTTTTGGGTAACATGTAATCTTTTGAGAATATTCATGAGGTTTCAATGCATATTATATTATGAACATGACATGTTATAAACACATTAGATTATTATAGACATAAAGTTAATATTTTAAAGTATATAAATAAAATAAATTTGTATAAGACTCCATTTAAGTTTACACTAACTTAATTTTGATAAAATCCAATAACATGAGTTTAAAAAATATAATCTCACCAACTCAAACCTTTCTCGTATTATGTGGAGAGACTCAAATTTATCGTTTACTGATATCATATCTATCCTATGTAGATATTTATAAGCGTAATTTTTCTATAAACATGTAATTTTAATAACAGACAATGTATTTTGAACATAAAAAAAAAAAAAAGATATTTGTAAATGGTGAAAGATTTTTCTTAAATAAAATATCTTTAGTCTTGTTATTTTTAAAATGAAAGTCAATTAAGAAACATTGTGATAATGTGTTTTATTTGCAGTCTTGCATTAACTATATTTATGCGATTTTTGAAGATTCACATGTAAAGAAAGAAAAAAATTATATATATATACACATTAAAAAATTGGAATGATGTATAACTGAAACAGTAAATTCATAAAACTATTATATATATATATATATATATATATATATATATTTATAATTTTGATCACTTCAATCTTATATTCTTTCATTTTTTATATTTTTTTATTTTAAGATAATATATTAGTTGACTTTAAATTTATTGATTGAAAACAAAACTTGTAGTCAAATAAAAATACAAATTTCAAACTAGAAAAAAGTTATATACTTAAAGAAATATCATCTAAAATTTTGAAGGAAGAAAAAGAATTGTATAAAATATTATCTTTGATTCGTATTCATTTGATCTTCGCGTATAAAATTAAGACTTATTTTATTGAAATATAGAGTTTTTTTTTAAGATGGAAAATTTCTCATTATGATTTTTTTATCAAGTTTCTTTATAAGAACTTTTATAAAAATAAAATATAAGAAAAAAATAGAAATAATTATTTTTTTAAACGTTAAAATTAATTTATAAAATTTATTTCGTATAATTTCCCTAATGATAAATAAAAACAAGTTTAAAAATTCTGATGATTTATTATATATGTTTAGAACTTAAATTTAAAATAATAATTTTATTGTTAGTTTAAGCTTAAACAAGACATATTTTATGATAAAAAAAATCATATATTAGCCATCTTTTTTCTCACATACAAATCTTTTTTAACTTATTATTATAAAGAATGCCTATTGACCACGTTGATTATGACATAAAACATGCTTCACACTTATCCTTTTTAAGATATCATTTATTTTTAAGGGATTTGTTAAAATTAAATTATTATTTAACACTATTCATTGTTTTAACTAGTTAAACTTTGATTTTATCTTTTAAAAAAATAAATTATATGTTTAACACATATTTTTAATATAAATTATAAAATTAACTTAAAGCATAAATTAACCAGTTTTTTATGCTTGCTTTTTATGTCCTAAATAAATACTGTTTTTCATTGCATGATTTTGTTTAAATGGATAATTATTGTTTTTTTATTTTTAATTTATTTTTATCTAATTTTTTATTGGTAATTATTTAACTTATTTTCGACCGTACATCAAGATATAAAAAATTGTCAAAAATTAGGTGATAAGGTAAAAAAAATTCCTAGAGTCGAAATATAGTTTATATATAACCCTTACTTTTGTTTCCTTAAAATGCTTTAACTTAATTTTTTTAAGTAATATCGAAAAAAGGATAGATTATTAATGAGTTTTTTTAAGTTAAAATTAAATTTATACATTTTTTTAAATGTTAATAATAAATATAAAAATATTTGAAAATTAAATAAAGCACTCAAATAAAATGATTTTTGGTGAATAGCTTTTATTGTCTGTCACCATTCCTGCATTGATCTAAACCAATAATAGATGAATAACTTTACCCGAAGCTGTCGCTTCCTATGACATTCCTGCATTAATTAAAACGTTTGCTATTGCCCACCTCAGGATTCTTGAGTGAAGAAAAATATAAGATTTTTTAAAAATCAATAATAATAATAATAATAATAATAAAAAAAAAAAAAGACAAGAGGGGTAATATTGAAGTGGAGTAGGAAGCAGGGAAAGAGAAGAGAGAGAAAGAAAGAAGTGGAGAGAGAGGATTTGGGAAGAAAAGAGTGAGAGAGAAAGAAAAGGAGAGTCGGCGCCCATTGTCCCCGCCGACCAATCACAACATCGTTTTCAACCTCATCATACCATACCCACCTCTTTCTCCTTCTCCTTCTTCTACCCTTCTTCTATCTTCCACTATTCAATACAATCTTCATTTTCTTAAGTAAATCTTAAAACCCTATCTCTCACTCCACCCCTTTCTCTATATATTTTTTTTTTCATTCCTTTCCTTTTTCCTGGGGTTCTTCTCATTTATATTTTTTCCCAAATACGGAAGACCTCCTTCTTCTAGCTTAGTTTTCCTCTTCTTTTATCGCTTCCCCCTTTAATCTTCATTCGTTTCGTTTTCCTGAATTTCATCTTTTTTGGAGATATTTTTTTCCTCTCCCTCTTTTATTACGAGAATTATGAGGGCCGCGGTCGAAGGATCCTTGGCCGAGAGGTTTGACGACGGCGAAAAGGAGAAGAAGAAGAAGCGCCGATCCAATCGTCGATCCAAGCAAAACCCATCATCTTCAGGTACAGTATTTTCATTTTTTTTTTAAATTAGTAATTGTGGGTGGTATTTTTTTCGTGACCGGAAGACAAAATTCAGTTTTTTTTTTTTCTTTTTATTGTGTGGCTGTGTGTCTTGAAATTGCTGTTGTCTGTTTGTCCTATTTGTGCAAAGTCAAAGCAAAGAAGAGAGGGTGCGCCGATTTATATGTTCCTGATTGTAACACAGATCGCTGTTCCATACCAATGGTTCCGATGTTTTATTGTGGGTCTTGTGTTTGTTACTGTTACTATTTCCTGTTGTTGTATGTGGTGTTTGAATTTTCCAATAAATGTAAAATGTATCATGGTGGTTTGGTTCACTTGCCACTGTGATCTACTATTTACTTTTTATAAACGAAAAAAATGGGGTGTTTAGTTTTTATCTTGTGTGATTTTTGGTGTTTTTTCTGTTATATGATAGCATCTGAAGTGAATGAGACCCAGGGGATGTCGCCAGATTCAGGGAAAATAGAAACACCTACTCATGCATCTGCATCCTTGGCCAGTTCATTGAAGCAGGCCAATGTGTGTTCTCCTAATGAGCAAGGATTATCCAAAGCATCAAATGTTGCTTTTACATCAATGCCCCCCATGCATATCAATGGGCAAGTGGAGCCTAGTGATTTGCGAATTGTGCCTATGTATGGTGGAGGCTTTGATTCAAAATCATTTTCTGAGCCCACTGGTTGTAGAGGGTCATCGGGAATTAATAAAAACAAGGACTCAGTCTCTTGTGGTGAAATTCTTGGTGGCCAGAAAAGTTATTTTAGTCCACATTGGTCTTTCGAGGCAGTTGAGAAGGCATTGGAGGTTAGTAATGTGGTATTTTACACACGTGTGGACACAATTTAATGTTGCTACCATTGCTATGGAATAACATTTGGTAATTTATTTTGGCTTGCAGAAGGGCGATGTTTTTAATGCTCTTTTTCATGTTAATGCTCACAATCGAGTCGAGGTTTTTCTCTAACATCTATCTTTCAGTGGTTTTGTTGCTATTTTTTGTTTTCTGTTTATGGGAGTGGGGGTGGACAGTGCCAGATCTTCTTTTTGCATAAGGGGGGTCATGACCCCCCAAAGTTTTGTAACCTACTTGCATATTTATTATTTTGACCCCTATTTGATGGTTATTAAACATATTTACTATTTTGGTCCCTCATTTAATGTTTTCTAATACATATTTAAACAAACCATTAATATTTATTGAATAAGAAAATATTTTATATTCTCACATCTTTTCATATTCTTTCATTATATATTACTGAAATATTATTTGGCCCTCCAAAATCATTGGTCAAGATCAGTGATTGGGGTGTATATAATTTTAGATACAGTTTGTAGTTATCTGGTGCATATATGATGTTTAAAATTTTCTCTGGACATGTAGGCCTACTGCAAAATTGATGGCGTGCCAACTGATGTGCTCATTGGTGGGATACCAGCCCAGAATAGAGCTGTAAGTATGAATTTCTTCATATTTCCGAAGTTTTTAATGGAAAAACTGTCTCTCTTTTGTTTTCTGATGGTCATATACAAATCACTGTGCATTATTATACTGGTTTTATCTCGGTCATTTGCTTGTACATTTCATATCTATCCATTAAGATTTTCTGATTTTCATGTTACTTTTTGCATGTATTGATGTAATTACCTACCTAGACTATATCTGTTTATCTCCCTTGTCCCACGTAGATGACCTCTCCTAATCAAATTAGGATTTTGTTGTTTGTGTGCACTGGTTTACGGGAGAGACGGGGGATCAGGAGTAATTCTCTAAGAGGTTTAGCAATTATAATTTTTGAACATGTGGGGCACAATAGTGTTATTGATTATATTTCTGTCCTATATATTGGACAATTGTAATTTTGATTTCTAATTGCATCGATTTTGATGGAGATGCATTGCTTCTTTCATAGTTTTTATTATAACTGAAATTGTCTCATTATGCCTTTAATATTTGTAGGATCTACATCTAATGATTGTTCTTTGTAGGTGGAAGGTGATATTGTTGCAGTTAAAGTTGATCCCTTGCCATTGTGGACAAAAATGAAGGGACCAAATGGGTCTTGTAACAACACTGCAACACTGGAAGGTTGCAACCTTCTTACAGAAGATAATGAAGTGGGTGGTAAGGGGAAACATAAGATTGACGCAGATCATGAGTCTTCCCATTATCGAAGCCATCCTTGTCAAAACAAGGAGGATGCTGATCAAAACATCTCCTATAGAAATGATTCTTTAATTGGAAAAAGAATTGTGTGTGAAGATAATACCTCCCAGGGTTCTACTAAACATTTAGATCTACTGGGAATGGCCAACCGTGATAGCATTAATGGACATCACTATGCTACTCCTGATTCCTTAAAGAGCAATTCTTGTAGTGGACAAAGTGAAGCAGTTAATGCAGTGGAAAAGATGTGTTTGTTGATTAATTCTTTCCCTTCTAAAAGACCAACTGGCAGGGTGGTCTCTATTATTGAGAGATCGCCTCGTCGAGAGGGTCTTGTTGGTCATCTTAATGTAAAGCAGTGCGCTTCCTTCAAAGACATAACCAAAAAGGATGTTAGGAAGAATACAAACATGGTTTCTGATAATGATTACATCCAGCTGATACCAACTGATCCAAAGTTTCCTACTATGATGCTTCTTGTTAGAAAGTTACCCAAGTGCATTATGGAAAGGCTGAAAAGTGGTGATATGACAATTGAAATGGATCTGGTAGCTGCAAAAATTGATGATTGGGTTGAAGAAAATCCTTTTCCCGAGGCTCACATCTTGCATGTATTTGGACGAAGTGGTGAAATTCAGACCCAATTAGGTGCAATTTTGTTTCAGAATGGAATCTGTTTGTCTGAATTTCCTCCTGAAGCTCTTTCCTCTCTGCCATGTGTTCCTTGGGAGGTGCCACTGAAGGAAATTGAAAGTAGAATAGATCTAAGAAATTTGTGCATATTTACTATTGATCCTTCAACTGCCACTGATCTGGACGATGCACTTTCAATTCAGAAGTTACCTAATGAAAATTATAGAGTAGGTGTCCACATTGCTGATGTATCATATTTTGTTTTACCTGGCACAGCCTTAGATAGTGAGGCTCAGTCTAGGTCAACAAGTGTCTATATGTTGCAAAGAAAGTTACCTATGTTGCCTGCATTATTATCTGATAATGTTTGTTCACTTAGTCCTGGAGTGGATCGACTTGCTGTTTCTATGCTCCTGGATATAAATCATGTAGGGGATGTTGTAGACCGTTGGATTGGTCGTACTGTTATACACTCATGTTGTAAGCTTTCATATGATCATGCTCAGGACATCATTGACAGGGATTTTGACTTTAAAGGTTTAAACTATACTGAAGATGTTTTTCCCAGAGTGTATGGCAGTTTTGAATGGCCTGATATTATTATTTCTCTGAAGAGTCTGTATGAAATTTCAAATGTCTTGAAACACAAGAGGTTTACTGATGGGGCTCTAAGGCTTGAAAACCCCAAAGTTGTTATCTTGTTTGATGAAGATGGAGTTCCTTATGATATTATCCTTTCAGAAAGCAAAGAATCAAATTTTCTTGTTGAGGAATATATGCTTTTGGCCAATAGAGTTGCTGCTGAAGTCATAAGTAGAGCTTATCCTGATGCTGCATTGTTGCGTAGGCATCCTGAACCTAATGTGCGGAAGCTGAGAGAGTTAATGGCATTTTGTCAGAAGCATGGTTTAGAATTGAACACGTCTTCATCTGGTCAATTCCACTGGTCACTAGAGCAGATCCGGGAAAAGCTCAAGAGTGATCCTGTGCTTTACTATATACTTATTTCTTATGCTACAAAGCCAATGCAGTTGGCCTCTTACTTCTGCAGTGGAGATTTAAAGGACAGTGAAAATGAATGGGGTCATTATGCTTTGGCTGTCCCATTTTACACTCATTTCACATCACCCCTGCGCCGGTATCCAGATATTATTGTTCACCGGACACTTCTTGCTACTATTGAGGCTGAGGATTTGTATATGAAGCATCAAAAGGCTTTGCAGGTTTACAAGGAAATGGATGTGCAAAAAAGATGTTTCACAGGTATAAATTTTGATAAAAATGCTGCAGAATCCATCAAAGGTAGGGAAGCACTATCAGCTGCAGCTGTGAAGTATAGAGTTCCACGTGCTGAAATACTTGCAAACATCGCTGCTTACTGCAATGAGAGAAAGCTAGCTAGTAGAAACGTTAAGGATGCCTGTGATAAACTTTACATATGGTTTCTCCTGAAGAAAAAGGAGGTATAGCTAGTTTAACTCATTCTCATAAAGTCATGGTGAATGAAATCATCATAACTGCAACTTTCTCTTAGCTGGTTGGGACTTTTTGTGTTTCAACCTAGGTCTTGTTTTCATATTTTCCTTAGCTCATAAAGTCTATCTTCTATTCTGCAGGTCTTGTTGTCAGAAGCAAGAATTCTGGGACTCGGCCCAAGATTCATGTCAATTTACATTCAAAAGCTAGCTGTAAGTAACTTCCGACCATATGCTGTTCAAATTTGCACATAGAGACGAAGCGTCTCTTCAATAAATGTTTTTTATTTTTTTGTATGTAGAGTAGCTTCCACAGATCACTGGACTAAGAAAATGACTTATATGATCACACTATTTTCTGTTGATGATTGTCAAAGATAACCATGTTTTTGGTAGCCAATGATAACATCATATTTTGTTTAGATGAGGTTGTGGGGTAATTGAATATTTTAACTATTGACATCACAACATTTATAATAAACCAGCATTTTGGCATTGTTTGAACCATGTAGCTAACAACGCCAACTTGAAAAAGGCTTGCTACTTGGTATTCCAATTTCTACCATCTGACTTAGGATTTGCATATTCTATACTTTGCACATACTGTATGTTGACTTTGCGTAGTTTTACTTCTGCAATTTGGTGCTTTTCTGTCAAGTAATTCGTCCCATTCTGATGATTGTTTTGTACATTGTCCAAATTCAGATTGAGCGACGCATATATTATGATGATGTTGAAGGTTTGACTGCAGAATGGCTTGAAACAACATCCACATTGGTTCTTAGCATGTCTACTAATAGGTGTACATTTAGGAGGGGCTTGCCTAACAAGTGGAGGCGGTTTGAAGATGTTGCGCTGCTCACATGTCCATATAACCTGAAATTTACCACGGTTAATTCTAACCAAAGTGATGCAATAAAAGTGGATGATAGTATATCTGCCATGGACAAGGAGCCCATTTCAATATCAGACACGTTGGAAAGTAAAATTGACCCTTTAGTTTTTCCGCTCACAGTGCATGTTCTTTCAACAATTCCAGTAGCTCTTCATGCTATTGGAGGTGATGATGGACCCCTTGATATTGGAGTGAGGTTGTACATGAGCTCCTATTTTGGGTGAGTTGGTAGTTTTGAGGTGGCAGGTCCAGTTTATGGAATGAAATGTCGACTTCTATTAAGGGAATGGACTTGGTTCCACTGTGTAGTGTATAGTTCGACACAGGTGGGAAAATTACATTGTCTAAATTTGCTAATGTTCTATGAACTTGTTTAAAACTGAGATTTGGGAGTAGGTGTGTAGATAAAAGCAGGAGGTTCTGTTAGTTGGCTTCAGTGCCTGTTTGTAACAGAACCTTCTTACTGGAATTGGCGCTTGTTTTTGTTGGCCCTTTCCATCTACTTACTATGTGCACGTATTTGGTTCTCTAGTCGAGGCTGAGGAGCCAATTCATGTCCTTTTTATTTTGTTTTGACTGAAGCCCAATATTTTTAGATTTTGGGTGGTCACTTGTACTAGTCATTTGGTTTCTGAAACATTTTTTGTATTTTACATTCTGACTTTGGTCAACGTTGAAATGGAATAATCTTGTTTTATGCAGTTTTGATGTTTTTTTGTTATCATTTTTTATTCTGACTGATATTTCCGTTTCATTTGGTGTTAATTTCTTTGTTATTTATTTATTTATTATGCCAGAAGCAAACACACTTGTTCATAGATCTATAACATAGTTCTCGGGAGGTGGAAACCCTCCCCACAGTTCAATTGGCTCTAGGCCCCAAATATTAAAATTTAACCTTGAATCATGGTCCACCCTTATTGCGGCTAACAGTCTCATCATTTATCTTCAAATAAAGTGCGTAAAATGACATTTCTGAACAACAAATTTGTAATTTGGAAGTTAACATCCTGAAAAATTTGAATGAGAAATCTTCATTCAAGAAAAAAAGGATTTATGACTAGTTTTGACTTTCTTCGTATAAATGAAAAGGAGATATTTCTTTTCCTATCGTAATCATCTTACAAAAACCCACGAGTTGGATTTTAATTTGAGTGTCATTATTATATGGTTTATTTTTACTTTTACATTTCTAAACTTTGGATTCTTTAAATTAAAAAAATGAGCTCTCTTATACCGAAATATATATATATATATATATATATATATATATATATATATATATATGACTTTAGTATTTCAAATTTACTACTTTAAAACATAAACTCTTTTTTAAAAATGTCATTTTAATTTGCTGTAAAAAATATTTTATTTTCCAAAATTTAACGCTAACTGATTAATGACATCTTTAAAATAAAAGTGAGGGCTTAAAATATTTTTAAAAATTTTAGATACTAAACTTAAATTTACCCAAATTTCATTAAACCTGTTTGTAATTTTTGTAATCACTGTATTTATACTATGGTATATAGGATTGTTTTTTTTTTTTTACAAACTGTCTTTTATGTTATTTTCTATTAAATTAATTTATTAAGAATGTTTGATTTTTTATTAATGTCATATATCATTTATACTTTAGGTGTTTTTATAGTAGTTGGTATCATTTTTAATAAGATGATTTTATTCTTTATTAATTAAAATAATTAATAAAATATAAATTAGTAACTTCTTAAGAAATTATTCACTTTTTTTAAAGTAATCACTTAATGCACGATAAAAAAGTTAATATCTCTTCAATATAATTTGGCTATTTTTTAAAATAATAATATATATTTTATTTTAAAATTAATATAATTATATAATTTTAATTCATTAAAATAAAATATCACCACACAAGTGTTTTCAACTATATTAATAATAAATAAATTCAAAATAAAAGAAAAATTTTCAATGATAGAAAAGAATTCTCTATAAGGAGAAAACTATAAAAAATTAACATTAAAAAAGTGACATTTACTAAAAAATTAATTCTTAAGTATAATATATAAACAAGTACAAATTATATAAAATCAAAGTCTAAATTTAAGATAAATGATTACACATTTTCTGTACCCATTTTTTCTTTTTCTTTTTTCTTCTTCAATATTTTTCATTCATATATTAGATTACATGTATTTATTTAATTAATTAAAATCATAAAATAAAAGTAAACTTGATGAAACATGTGAACTCAATTATTCAATTTTATAAAACTATTTATTATTTATAATTACTTGTGAACCATTATTGATAGTTATATAAAAAAAGTTTAAAATACAAAATAATGAATTGTATAATTTAATTGGTGAAAATTTTTAATTTTTTTATAAATAAAATTGGATAATTTATAAATTATATATTAAAGAAATTATACATCATACGATATTTGTTTGATTTCTCAAAAAGTTTAATGAAATTTTTCGTATGGTTATACTTTATCATATTTTATATTTTGTTGAAATTTTAATTAAATTAAATTGATATTAAAAAATAATGCTAATATAATTCATGTTGACAATGTACCATGTTTGTATATGTAGTTTTTTTTAATATTTGTAATTACTCTAATTAAATCATTACAAAATTTAATCCAACATTTAATTAAATTTTTATTTTCTTGTGAGCTAACAACAATTCTAAATGTTAAAAATAATATATTTAAAATATATTTAATAGTATATGATCGAATTTATTTTTTATTTAAACAAAATTTGTAGTAAAAAATAATTCTGTACATCAATGCTTATATTATTTAAGTATTTTCATTAATATGAATATTTAAAAAAAAATTTAGTAAAATATTAAAAACAATTATATTTAATAAATTATAGTAATTAATAATATTTTTAATAATATTAAATATTTTAAAAATATTTTAGCATTATACAAAAATATTTATTTAGGTATATGTTATTTTAAAAAAATTAAAATTAATCAGTAAAATTGGTCGTTGAAATTAATTATTGACTATTATTTAATAAATATGTAAAGTGGTCTTTCAAATTTGATAATTGAAATTGTTAATGAAATCACATTAAAATCAGTCACTAAATTAATCATCAATTTTATAATTAATTAAAAAAATTTAAACAATTTTCATAATCACAAATTTAGTTTCTGGTTATAATCATTTGATCACTAAACTTAGTCATTAATTTTGTCAATGAATTAATCATTAAATTGGTCAGTCAGTAAATTTATTATTGATTCAATTACTAAATTAATGACTAATTTAGTTACTCAAATTGACCACTAAATCATAAATCAATCACTACAATGGTCACCAAATTATTCACTAGACTATTTTCTAAGATTAATTTCAAATTAGGTCATTAAAATTAGTTATTAAAATGGTATTCAATCATTAAATTGATACTCATTGAATCAATCATTTATTTTGTTTATTAATTTATCATTAATTTGATTATGAGATTGATTATGTTTTAGTGTATCATTCAGTTATTCTTTAGATCAATCACTAGATCAATATTAAATTTGGTTAATGAAAATTATCAATAAATTTAGTCATTAAATTTGCTAAATTAATCAGTGATCTATCAATGATTTGGTAACAAATTTGTTCCCTAAGTGAATTGATTACTAATCTAGTCACTATTTTTTGTCACAATTTTAAATCCTAGTTAAGTTACAAATTAATAAAATAATTTAACAAGACATGGTCACTAAAATTGGTTATTTAATCTTCATCGATTTAATATTTAATTTATATTACTAAATTGACAAATAAATAATTTATTGTGGTTGATTACTAATTTAGTATTAGTAACTGATTTGGTCACTAATTTTTTTTTCACAATTGATTTGAATTTTTTTAATAATACAAATCATAAATTCAATCACTTAAATGCATTACTAATTTAATTCATAATTCATTTATTGGACTAATTATGAACTGAAATTAGGATATATAATCATTTATTTGATTATTATTATTTATTATAAATTTAGGTATTGTTTTGAATAATAATTTTTGTCATAACAAAACACTTTTTGATATAAAAAAAATAAAAATAAGATAAGACTATTCAACTTATAATGATAAATTATATGTTTTAATTATAATTTTAAGTAAAGATTGGACAATATTATTATTTTTTTAGAGTTTATCATCAGTAATAGTCACACTTCTTAAAATTCTTAAAATAAAAATATAAATTTAATAAGAGATGTATTAAGTAATTAAAAATATAAGTTTAATAAGATGCATTAAGTATATAGTTTGTAGAACAATTTTCATAAAGAATTCGAATTTTGCACGGAATTTAAATTTTAAAATTTTATTCGTCATCGATTTTTTTTTTTTTCTTTTACACTTTGTTACGTCACTTCTTTGTACGATTTTATTCAATACATTGTATAAACAGCATGCAAGATAAATTATTTAGAAGAAAAACTTATATAAAAGAAAATACTACTCACATATATGCTTTATATAATATATTGTCTATGTATCAAACATATATTATATTTTTTCATTACAGGTTCATCGTTGTAAATTTTATTTTATTGTTCGGCTTTCACGATAACAGTATATTAACCTATTTTTTAAATATGACAAAAAAGAATTAGTATTTCAGAAAAAAAATAAGAAATATAATATAAATAATTTTTGTTTAGTTTTTTAAAATCAAAGGAAATATAAATAATCTTTTACTAAATAAGCTGAGAAGAATCCTTCGTAAATAAATTATTATTCAACATAATAAATAAAATTTTATTAAATTGTATTTACATAATTTAAATACACTAATAGAAAATTACCTTGTATATATATATATATATATATATATATATATATATATATATTATTTTTATGTATCGTGATACTTTTATGTTGTTTTCAAGTATTTCTCATAATAAGACTTTTTATTATAGTAATACTTCACTTTTAATGTTTGTGTCTTATATTTAATTTTAATATTTATATTTATATAATCAATTATTATTATTATTATAATCTAATTTCAATATAATACAAGATAAAATATATTAAATTAAATTATTTTCACATTGCAAATAAGTCACGTAAATAAAAATAATATATATATATATATATATATATTAAATCATATATATAAAATTAAAATTAACAGAATAATTAACTCTTAACACTAATATAATAAAGAAATTAGCAAAGCGCTATTCGAATAATAATAACTAGTCGAAATATAGGAAGTTGTGTTTTTATATTATTAATTTATTTTAAAAAATATATATAATTTTTAATAATTAGATATATTTACATTTTCTTTTTACTCGTTATATTATATTATTTTTATTTATTTATTTATTAATTTATATAAATGATAATAATTGTTTTTTTATATTTGTTTCTAGGGTAAAAAATTTTAGACTTAACAATATTATATCTCTCATTTTATAAATCATGCCAATTTTTTTCTCTTTCGGGTAAAAAAACGATTATAAACAAATCTATTTCATACGTATGACATGATAGTAGTAAAAACAAAAATGAATGAAAGCGCTTAAATTTTTTGGTTCGCTTTGTAATGGAGAGAAATGCAACATTCATTGCTATTGGCTTGGGCAAGAGCATAGGAACAATTTTATTGGCGGCAAAAGAAGCGGGGGAAGATTAATAGCCGAAGTCGAAGATGGCTTCAGCATTTGGTTGGTTCGGTCCTCTCATCGACCTCTCCAAAGCCTCTTCTCACATCGCCCATTTCGTTCAGCTTCTCGTCTTCGTTCATCGTTCCTTCCCCGTTCAGGTGTCTTACTCATTCCGCTTTCTACACAATCTCTTATCTTTCTTTTCCTATTAACTTAATTGCTTTCCTTTTTCTCTTATTCTCAGTGCAAGTCCTCCAAACGAGAAATAATCCGAACCGACATTGAAGTCGGCGACGATACGATGCCGTATTTCGTAGTTTCTCTTTGGCAGAAGCAGATGCGCTCCATGGTAGCAGCCGGCGATCTCGTCTTGTTACAGAGTAAATTCCGTTTCTTCTAAACTTGTATTGTATCTGTTAAGTTGACGGCGTTAACTACCGCTAATTTTACACGTGCCAGATTTCAAAATCGCGAAATATGGCGATGCTGTTGAGGCCAGAACCGTTCAGTGGTCTTCGCTGATTTGCTTGGTCCATCCTCACCAATTACTGCTCTCAAAGGGTCTGCTCTGTACTTCTGTTCTTTATTGTTATTTTGTCTGCTTGGTTAAGTTATTATCTAAATTTATTCACGAGTAAGCACATCAATTTTTCGCACATTTGTGTCTTTTTTTTAGTACATTCCGAAGCAACTGATTATGACTCAGAAAAATATACCTTTACACGGTCACTGTTGGATTGGAACGGTTATATGAAGATTGGACATCCAATCTCTAGTTTGTATTTATCAAGATGAAATATTACTCTGATCTTCGTCATGCATTTTCAATTCGCTGGCTGCGTGAATGTGTGAAAAATCCAACTGCGAGGAATTTATATGTTTGAGAACTAATTTGACTTACATAACACATATTTCAAGGCTAGTCGTTTATAAGATTCTTAAATTGGAGAATCAATGGTTGTGCAGTTTCACCAATGGAGCAATGATGCAGCAGTTCTTATAAAGGCAACCTTTGTTAATGGTTATTGGGAATTATGAGATAATTATTGGACCCTTTTTTAAGTTTTCAAGTGTGGTAAGGTGTAGTTTTTGCCTACTAACATTTTATTTTAGTCATGTCATTAATTAACATGACATATCTGATACACTCCTTAAAATCGAGGACTATCTTGAGTGTGATCCAGTAAGCATGATAGTGGGTGACCTAATAAGATCGTTAATAATCGATAAGAAAGACTCTGATACCATTCTTTAGTTTGATTAAGGTTTAACTTAACCTTATTAAAACCTTATCAAATTGGCTTAAAAGATAAAATTTTCATTTTATTTAATATTCTATTTTAACCTTATCACTAGTCCTTCAAAATCTCCAACGAAACCATCACAAATAAACTTGTTGAAGTTCTTAAATCTTGTGTGCCACTGTAGGGCTAGTCAAAAGTGAGTCAGGCAACTCCACCATGTCTGCACCATTGGATATGCTATAAGTGTCTTTAATATTATTCTATAATTTATATTAGAGTTTCACCATGGTAACACTGCGGTCAACTTTTATTGCATGGGCTACCGAAGTGAAGTTTGATTTTGATTGCTAAATAATACTGAGGGTACTGAACTGAACCTAAGTTTCTATTGCCTATATTAGTCTTTTCTCGTGCTAATGTATAATGATGCCAGCAAACGTGTTACCTCACATGTGCACAGTTTTTAGCTAGTGCAGCTGGTCCTACTAGAACTCTCTACTCTCCCATGCAGATGTAAGATACATGTGATGCACAACTAAAATTATTGAATGTGGATACTATTTGTTATTCTATGCTTTAAAAAGTTTTGATTTTTACAATTTTCTTCTATGCAGCTGTTGAAGAGTTGGTAACAGGGTGCCGTATTGCGGCAACAACGAAGGACAAGCTTAGGAGGGTCATAAAGTGGGTGCAGCAGTCTCGGTCCACTGTTTGCAATATTAAGTTGCAGTCCAATCAAGTATTCTCTTTGCCCTGTAATTGTTGCTCCTGTTATATAATTTATCACAAGGATGTGAGAATACCTCATTTAACTATAAAAGTATCATTAGGTGTATTTAAAAAGAGGAAATATGAGTACAAGTTTCAATGTCTTGTATTTGATAAGTGTGGAATGTAAGACAAGTGTACCATTTATCTACTAATCATCTAATTGACTCATGCATAAATCCAAACAATCCATCCCATTATAAAAATAAAAATCAATGGATTGGATCACTATTTGTTATTGGGTGGATGATGAACCGTCTAACATTTTTGTAATTCATTGGGTCAAATAGTTCAAAGTTCATTGTTTCAGCATAGATCTTTGAAGGATGAGTTTTGGACTCTGGTGGTTTTTTGGTACAGCATCTGGTGTTTGAGTTTGAGACTGTATAAATATTGAACTTTGTACATAAGTGTTTTGAAACAATAAAATATCATATACTTTTTATGATGAGTTGAATAATTGTAACAGATCCTAAGTGATTAATCATTGGGAATGTGTTTGTTTTTACTCTTAATATAAAACCCCATTGAATGCCAATCCAACCATATTGAGTTGGATTGGAAAGTGGGAAGAATGAAAAAATGCAGTCTTACTTTTAATTGGAAAGTGGGACATTCAGTTGAAACAATACAAGTATATAATAACTCTGGTGGGTTCTTTCTTTCACATTCAGTTTGTTGAGATTTAAGTCAAAATGCATGATGGGTAGTTACGTGCATGGGTTTTACGTGCATGGGGCATGGTTACGTGCATGGGTATTACTTTCTGGTTTTCTGTTTAGTTCAAGTTCTCTGTTTTACTCTGTTATTTCTACTGTATATAAACATTACAGTTTTTATACATCAATAATAAGGAATGTACTTCATTCTCTATCTGTAGCTCTCCCATTTCATGGTATCAAGAGCTCTTTACGGTCCAAGGACGTGAGTTGTGTGTGCCTGCAACCAAATCAGACGCTGTGTGTGGTGTAGTTTAGTGAGAGTGCATTTTTCAACGAAGTGGAAAGAGTGTTGTCTTGGTTTGTAATCAAGAAAGGTGCTCGTGCATTCTTGATCTGGTTTGAGGTGTAGCATGGCCGATATGGGTGGGATGATACAAGGGGGTCTACCTATCTTTGATGGTAGCATGTTCAATGATTGGAAGATTAAGATGAATGCGATCTTCATCTTTCAAGATGTGGCTGAAGTTGTTGAGCATGGTGTTTCACCACCGGGTGCGAGGGCTACTGAGGATGATAAGAAGGCTTACAAGATTCAACAAAAGTTAGATGGCAAGGCAAGGTACTTGATCTATCAATGTGTTAGTTCACCAATCTTTAATAGGATTTCCATGGCGGGCACAGCCAAAGAAGCGTGGGATATCTTGGTGGCTACGTATGGTGCAGGGGATAAACATAAGAAAGTGAAGCTACAGGCTCTGCGAAGGCAATTTGAGTTCTTCATCATGGAAGAAAGTGATTCGGTGGTTGGGTTCCTCAACAAGGTTCAAGAACTTGTTAATGGCATGCGTTCTTGCGGTGACAAAGTGTCTGAGCAGAATATCGTGAACAAGGTTTTGCGGTCACTTCCTCCAAGATTTGATCATCTTATAATTACTATTGAAGAGACGAAAGATCTGGATGCACTGACCTTTCAGGAGCTGCAACATTCGCTCGAAGCTCACGAGTTGCGGATGTCTGAGCGGAGATCCTATCAAGAGCAGGTTCTTCATGCAAGAACAAATGGAAAGCAGAAAAGAGATTCCAAGAAAGGAACTAAGACAAAGAAGAAGGGAGATTCAGATGAGCAGAAGTACAAAGACCAAAAACAAAATTGTGGAGAAGATAAAGAGAAGAAGTATGACAAGAAAAAAGTCAAGTGCTATAACTGCCAAAAATTCGGGCATTATGCACGAGACTGCTGGGATGGTGACGAAGCCAAGAACAAACCAAAGAAGAATGCGCGAGTTCATCTTGCAGAGGAAGAAAATTCTGATGAAGAGGCTGTCATGTTGATGGCGGAGACAGATGCGAAGCTTGACGGTGAAAATTTGTGGTACTTGGACTCTGGGTGCTCCACGCACATGACCGGGAAGAAAGATTGGTTCGTGCAAATAAGTGATATAAGTCAAGAAAAGATACGTTTCGCAGATAATAGTTCTCTCACAGCAAAAGGAACTGGTAGAGTTGTGTTGCGAAACAGTGATGGCAAGGACGTGATAATTGAAAATGTTCTATATGTTCCCGGGTTGAAATCAAACCTTCTGAGCTTGGGCCAATTGATGCAAAGAGGTTTGAAGATGACACTTGAAGATAATTCTTTACGTGTATTTGATCAAACCCAGAAGCTGGTCATACATGCTGGTCTGTCCTCCAATAGAACCTTTCAGGTTAAGATGGATGCTTTGAAGCACCAGTGTTTTGCTGCTGTCAGTGACAAGTGCGAATGGCTGTGGCATCTCAGATTTGGACATCTTAACTTTCGGGACTTGAGAGAACTTGGACAAAAGAAAATGGTAGTTGGTATTCCTCATATGTGTATTCCAGACGAAGTATGTAGAGAGTGTATGGAGTGCAAGCAAACGCGAAACAAATTCAGTAAAAAGGTATCATCGAAAACTTCGGAGAAACTTGAGCTAATACATTCAGATATTTGCGGTCCATTGCCGGTTGAAACACCTGGGGGCAACAAGTACTTTATTACTTTTACAGATGATTATACGAGAATGTTATGGGTGTATTGCTTGCGAAAGAAGAGTGAAGCATTTGAAGTGTTTGTGCGGCTCAAGTCACTGGTTGAAAATCAGTGTGACAAGCAGTTCAAGAGACTTCGTGTTGATGGTGGGGGAGAATTCAACTCTCTTGAATTCAAAAATTTTTGTACTGAAAATGGTATAGCTTATGAGGCAACACCACCATATACGCCACAGCATAATGGTACTGCAGAAAGGAGGAATCGGACCCTACTTAATATGGTAAGGTGCATGCTTAAAAGTAAGGGTGTTCCAAAATATCTCTGGGGAGAAGCGGTTTCAATTGCTGCCTATGTTTTGAATCGCTCACCAACAAAAAAGCTTGATGGTATAACACCAGAGGAAGCCTGGTCTGGTCAGAAACCAGATGTAACTCATATGAGAGTTTTTGGATCTCTTTGTTATCATCGCATTCCAGATCAAACATGTAGCAAACTTGATGACAAAGGTGCTATGGCAGTCTTGATTGACTATCACGTAACAGGTGGCTATAAATTGTTTGATCCAAACTCTCGAAAGGTAATCATATGCAGAGATGTGGTGGTTGACGAAGGCTCGTGTTGGAACTGGCAGGAAACGAGTCAAGAAACTCAATCAGGTACAACACCAACAATTTCACTAACTGATAATGTTGTAGGTGATGTAACAGTGCAGCAGGAACCTCATGAACAAACAAGAAGATCACAGCGAGTTACTCAACCACCTACACGTTTCAAGGATTATGAGGTTTTCAATGATCTAGCGGTAATGGAGAATGGAAATTTTGTGCATTTCGCCCTGATAGCTGAGGCAGATCAGATATAATTCTATGATGCTATTCGAGATACTCATTGGGTGCAAACCATGGAGGAAGAGATTGAATCCATAGAGAAAAACAAGACGTGGACACTGGTTGAACCACCACTTGACAGAAGACCAATCTCTCTGAAATGGGTCTATAAAATAAAAGTAAATCCCAAGGGTGAAATTGTGAGGTACAAGGCGAGATTGGTCGCCAAAGGATTTCTCCAAAAAGCAGGAGTAGACTATGGAGAAATTTATGCTCCTGTGGCTCGACTGGAGACTGTTAGAATCATTGTAGCAATAGCAACATGGGAGGGTTGGTCCTTCCACCAACTAGATGTAAAATCTGCATTCTTAAATGGCTATTTGGAGGAGGAAATATATGTAACACAGCCATTGAGATTCATAGTCAAAGGAGAAGAGCACAAGGTATACAGGCTTAATAAGGCACTCTATGGGCTTAAACAAGCTCCTAGAGCTTGGAATCATCGGATCAATCAGTTTTTGGAGAAGATTGGTTTTGTGAGATGTGTTTCCGAACAAGGGGTGTACACCAAGTGCTGGAAAGACCAAGACAGAGAAGAGAAAATGATAGTATGTCTTTATGTGGATGATATGTTGTTGACTGGGAGCAAGCCAGAAGCAATTGCAGAATTTAAGTCTCAAATGCATAGTGAATTTGAGATGAGTGATTTGGGAAGACTCAGCTACTTCCTAGGCATTGAGTTTCAGTTCACAAAAGCTGGAACTATTATGCATCAGATGAAATACTCACGTGATCTTCTCAGCAGGTTCGGGATGAAGAATTGCAATGCTACAGTAACTCCAACGGAAATGGGTCTGAGATTAAAAAGGGGCACTGAGGAGGAAGATGTTGATCACACAGAGTTTCGCAGAATCATTGGGAGTCTGAGATACCTGTGTAACACCAGACCCGATTTGAGCTATGGTATTGGCATTGTTAGTAGATATATGCAGAGCCCGAAAGTTAGCCATATGAATGCCGTAAAACGTATCTTACGCTATTTGCGTGGAACGTGTAATCTTGGTATAATGTTTCCATGCAAGAAGCCAGGGGGTGAGATGAAATTGGTGGGATTTGCAGATGCAGATTGGTGTGGTGACAGGGAAGATAGAAAAAGCACTGCAGGTCACATATTTTACTATGGCGAAGGACCAGTGTCCTGGAATTCAGTCAAGGAACCCGTGGTGGCTCTCTCCTCCTGTGAAGCAGAGTATATAGCTGCTGCACAGGCTGCATGTCAAGCTGCATGGCTCAGGATGCTGTTGAAGGAGCTGAATGCAGAATTGGTCCAACCACCAACATTGTTTGTTGATAATAAGTCTGCAATAGACTTAGCTAAACACCCATCAGCTCATGGAAAAAGCAAACATATAGAAATGAGGTTTCATTTCTTGAGAGAGCAGGTTAATGATAAGAAGCTTGAAATAGAACACTGCAGTACAGAAGATCAGAGTGCAGATATCTTTACAAAGCCTTTGAAGGCTGCTAGATTTTGTAAACTCAGAGAGTCTCTGAGAATTGTTCGGTTTTGACTTAAGTAGGCATGTTGAGATTTAAGTCAAAATGCATGATGGGTAGTTACGTGCATGGGTTTTACGTGCATGGGGCATGGTTACGTGCATGGGTATTACTTTCTGGTTTTCTGTTTAGTTCAAGTTCTTTGTTTTACTCTGTTATTTCTACTGTATATAAACATTACAGTTTTTATACATCAATAATAAGGAATGTACTTCATTCTCTATCTGTAGCTCTCCCATTTCACAGTTGAATTGGAAAGTGGGACAATGAAGAAATATACAGTCTTACTTTTGATTCATCCACTATAGTTCAATTTAAAATTTATTCATTCTGTCCATTTGACACCCCCCCTAGTTGTCTCAATTGTCCAGAAGCAAGTTACCAGCCAATCCTTTTTTTTATATATTGAAAATGAACATCTGTTTGTAGCATGTCATTATATTATATACCTGACTGGTTTCATTGTAATTCCATTTTCTTGTAAACATAATATGTAAGTGATAGTGGTAATTGAGATTATTCTATCACATTCATTTAATAGTTTAGATTTTAATTTACTTTACAAAAATGGTTGTCATTGATAATTTTTCTTCTCTCACTTAGAAAAACTATCTATATGCTTCATCCATACGGTATTAATTAAGATATACTAATGAATCTACTGAATGTGATAGACGCAACAAATAGAGCATCTGCCTAGAAACTGGACGGTGCCTGAAGAGGAAAAGCCTAGGGACTGCTTTTCACTCGTAGAAGTCTCTCAGTTAACAACATCCTGCAAGGCTATAGTCTGTGCATCTATTGGTGAAATTGTTCCACTACATACCACCAGGACTCTTGTTGATACCAAGAAAGAGAAGTTTTTCATTAGCAAGAGAGTTTACAGAACTGAGGATAGTAACTTGGTGGAAGATCTCATATGCACTGGCTGCCAGCTCTGTGGTTCACCCTTGGATTCAAAGTACTAGATTATATGATTACTTAATCCTTCTTGTGCCTTTTATTATGATTAATCATTCTTCCCTTTCAGATTTGAGCACAGTGCTGTTCCACTGATCTGTTGGAAAAGTTCAACCCGCCTTCATTCAATATGCTCGATATATAGACCCTTCATGGTAATATATGTTCACAAAGCTTGCTCACGTGTTTCTCCTGACCAATATCTTATCTGTCACTCATTAGATTTTAAGAATTTATTAATGTGCTGTATCTATTACACATTCATAATGCGATACATCTTTTATTTTTTTAAACAAAACTATCCATAGGGAAATTAATGAAATATGAGGCATCTTTCCAATGTCTAAAATTTCAAAGTAAACTTGAATGTGTCTGGTGCCAATATTTGTTTCATAATTAAAGATATCAGATAGGGAGAGGGAACCTAAGTCTTGTTATGCATCTGAATTTTAACATTTTAGATTTTTTTTATAAACCTTATTATCTTAGACCTGCTTTGCTTACCATTGCTTATTGATGCAATTTTTAGCAGCTGTACGTGTGGGACGAATCTGATTATATGCCAGTTCTCGTTAAAAACTGGGCTGCAGAAATTTTGTTTGGGAACATCAAAGCTGGAAAAGTATATTCAGCTTATAAAGAACAGATGCATAACCAAACTCTTGGTCCAAGAACTGAATGTAAGGATCAAGATGCCAGTGAAAGAGTTGCTATTAACCAGAGATGCTTTGGGGAAGGACTTCCAAGTGCCAACACGTTGGAGGTCGATAAAAGCTTAAAATTGGAGGAAACACATCTTCCTGATAAATTCAACTTTTACCGTGTCTGGTTAATTCTTCTGAAAATGTTGCTGAAACAAGGGAAGAACAGCCCTCTGAAATTTGAGATCATTGTTGATCCCAGCTTAGATATGGAAAATGGAAAATTTGAAATGGTTTCTGTAACAATGCCTTGCTTTGGAACCTAATCATTTCACTTTGCATATTTGCTTACGCATCTTCTAAAATGTAAATTTTTGCACACTCCTATACTCTTCACAAAAGTCTTCAATTCTAATATAATATAAAAAAAAAATTCAATTGTAATCTTTATATTAAACAGAAATAATATAATTTGCCTTCACCAAACTAAACAAGTTTTTGTAATTTAAAGGATTGGAACCAAATAACATTTCCATATATGAACTAAAAATTTTCATATCCTAAGGAATTAAAATTATATTTAAGTCTTATAAAACTTTTAATTTGAAAATAAATAAAAGGAATAGATAATAGACTATAGAACCACTTGTTCTATGAAAAGATTTTGCAAAGAAAAGCATGGCAAGTACAGGTGAATGTGCAATAGTGTAGAACTCTTCTATATGCATTCTTCATGAACTATAAGATATCCTATTCGGGCTTTTTTCAATTACCATCGTACAGGAAACACATTCCTGAAATCTTTATGAATTGACAAAGAAACCCTTCATATTCATCTTCTTTTGTCTACACTATTGAAGGAGAAACCGTAAAAGGCTAACAAAAAAGCATCAATTAGGTGAACATTTGACAATTGGTTACCAAAAAGGTGCATTTAGTCTGTTACAATCATGCCAAAACAAATTTGACAATGCTGACAGCTTCAAGATAGCATTATGAATCAATTTTTGTTTCACCCAAAGAAGTCTCAGCAGCAGCATTTTGCTCTTCAAGTAGCTTCATTTGGCGCTCTGCGTGTTCCCTTTCGCAAGCACTAATTCCCATGATAATATCCAACATAGTACCTGTGGTGCCAAAAAATACAAGGGGTGCCAGAGATTTGCGCTTTATCCCAACTGGAATAGCCAGCAATGCTCCTGCAACTGAGAACACCCAAGTGCCCAATGCACTGCAAACTTTCCATGTTCAGTAAGATTTTAACAAAATTCACCTTTGAAATAGTAAAAAAAGGCGTTGTGAAATAAACAAACTTAAACATCAAGGAAATGAAACCCCAGTTGCAGATTTCCTGACAAGCAAATTATAATCATTTAGAAGGGTCCCAACCTGACCTCAATTCACTAGTCACAACTGATTATTAGAAAACCAAATAATTAGACGGTAAGGGGTTAGGAAGTGAGGGATGTCACTGCAATGTGTCAAGAACCTTTTCTGCAATGCTTAAATGGGAAACAAACTATTTTCTCACTGGTTTAAGCAGATAGAAATCATTCCACACCTGATAAGTGATCATGACCATGAAGCATGATTCCAGCTAGCCCTAAATTCATCAGATAAGATACAAATTTTGTTCAGTGACTGGTAACTTATGCGGGTGAAAGTTTGATGATACAAAAAGGCCCATCTGAATGACAATAAAGCAATTTAGTGTTAATCTTCAACTTCATTCTCTGAGGTTACACTCGTCTGCACCACGTTAGTTTTCCAGAGGTTTTTATTTCCAATGTTCCCTCAAAGATGTAAAACATCATCAAATTTGTCCCTAGGAGGACCAAAAAGGATGAACTTGGTGACCCTTATGTACTTTGACCGACTAATTTGGAACAAATTTTTTGGAGGATTAACATGGTGACTTATGGAACTGTGGATTATCAACGGGGTGGTTTACTACATAATTTATTGAAGCATATTGTCTACTCAATATTCTTGTCTCCTGGTGTTCGTAAGTACCAATATCTTCATGTATTGTCAAACATTCATTGGTTACTGCATTGCAAGTATCACCAAGAATAAATATTTGACAACTCGTTAAGATTCAAGTGCTTAGCAAACAAGAGATATTTGTACTCAGGAAAATACATGAGGATTGTCGAGCAACCATGCCAAGTAAACACTTACTCTGTCTTATGTTACAAAAGTTGGACGAATAATCAAACCAGAAAACATTATCAGTGCCCCTTTTAATGGACAAAAGGGTGGCCTTTTCCAATGTTAGGTCAAAAACTGCATTCAGCACTTCAAGGAAACATATTTGTTCCATAACAAAGGAGGGTGCAAATTAAGATCCCTAATTCCCACAAAGTTCCTTAATTTTCCCAGTTTCCAACTAGTTCTAAAATTAAACTTGATTTCATTATTAATGGGGTGTGTAAAAAGCTGGCACCGAGTATTTGATCTAACACTATATTTCTATGAATCAGTCAATTAGGTGAGATGGTAAGTTATGAATTCATGTAAATATTAAAAAGGAAAAAGCTATCACAGAAACACACACACAGATAAAGAAGAAGAGACACTGACTTGGAAACGGAGCAGTCTTCAAGATGCTTTACATTATCTTCGCCTCCCATTTTCCGCAGAAACAATATGGGCAGCAGGGAAAAGGAATAAAAACTGTGCCTTTCACTTCCCTCAATTTCGATGATTACTTCTAAAGAGAGAGAGAGAGACAGAGGTGTCTTTTAAGAAGGAATAATTAGAGAAAACACGGCTTGTTTTAGGTTTCTTTATTCTTGCTGATGTTACCAAATTTGTACCTTTCATTTTTATTTTTCTTTTGATGAGGATATTTTTATTTGTAATATTAAATCAAACCATTTTTAATACGTTAGAAAAGGTGAAAGTTGATTAAACAATTAATAGAGCATTATTTTTTATTTGATTTTATTTTTGGTTTTATGGTTAAAAATTGGACTAAATTGAATAAAATATTTAATCTAATTATTGATCGTAATTTATTAATTTTTATTAACATTTTGCAATATATTTATTAATTTATGTGTTTTTTGTTTTATTGTTCCACTGCCAAATAAAATCAAAGAGAAACCAATCTAAATCACCGGACTATTTTTGTGCTTTTAATTAACTTTTATATAACATTTTTTTAGATAGATAATAACATTGTTTAAATGGTATTTCTTTCCCACATCTAATAAAAAAATTAAAACTTTATCAAAGTGAATAAGTTGTTAAATCAATTTTTTAATCAATTCTTTCATATAATAATCTGATTGTATGCAAAAGTAATTATAAAAATCAAATAATAAAATTATAAGTTACAAGAGATATTATAAAAAATAATAACACTTGTATCTCAATAAATATTGGCCTGATTTCAAATAATAAAAATAGAGGTAAAAAAATCGTTTCAAATATAACATAGAAGGAAGTTTTTCAATTCTATTTAACTGACAGTATAATAATTTATTTTCAAATTTATTTTTTGGAAGTAAAAAGTTACATTATTTATCTTATTCCGAACAATATTTGTCTGCATCCAAACAAAGCCTAAATAATCAAGTAGAAAGGCATAGTGAAGGTAAGGAAAAGAGCCTGAGACGCAAGGTTTCGTTTGAAAAGATAAGAGAGAGAAAATGTCAATGAGAGGAATCGGAGGGCCACTTCTATGCATCGGAGATCTCCTGAACGACGTCGGAGAAGAACAACAAGGAGACTCTCTCCGTCGCGAAGCCTCTCCCACTCCCTCCTCGTCCCAGCTCAACGATAACTATCCACCTCCTGACCTCACCAAACTCTTCCAGGTTCGTTCCTTTCCGTTTTCCATCCATTGCCCCTTCGATTTGTAACTCGCGTTGAAACGGCGTTCCTTTCTGTCGTTTCAGGAACATTACGATCACTTGAATTCGGCTCTCTCTGGCACCGACCACTCTTGGACTTCTCTCACCTTGAAGGTATCGTGCTATTCATCTCAATCCCTTACTCATGAACCAAATGAAACTTTATGAAATGGAGCTTGCTATTAGACTAAAATGCACTTTGTGTTCGTGCTGTCATATTAACTTGGTTAATTCTATGACATATGACAAACTGTGAAATGCCACCTTGTCAAATCAGGCAAAGTTAATAACAGCAGTGCACAAAACTAAAGAAAAAACTAATTTGATCTAATAAATACACGAAAGACATCATAGTAGAATTATTGAAACTTTAGGAGAACAAACTAAATCCATAAGTTAAGACAAGGTAGGAAAATTTTATGTTAGACTTCTTCTTATCATTATTATTAGATTTTAATTTCTACGCATCAAGGTAAAAAAAAAAAAAAATTCAATAAATTATGTAAATTTTAAGGTAGTTATTTAAAGGACAAATAACTTATATAGATGACAATTTGTGACAAGAGGATAATGTATAAATTCTCTTACACTGTAAGTGTATAAATTATTTCTCTCTCATTATTGTGATTATTATTATTGGCTGATAGGGAGGGGAAGGGGATTTAATATTTGATCCTTATGTTCTTACTATTGATCTGTCTTCATATTCCACTTATCATATGTTGTTTGACCCATTATTCAGTTATGCGCTGCTCTAGAAACTGCTAATCAGCTGGTTCAGTCAACCAACTCAAATGTTGCATCCTTGTCTGAGAGGGTTGAGGAGCTTCAGAAAATTGTTAAGAGAGGGGATTCTGCTATAGCAGCAGCGAAGGCCCTTTATTATGTTACCCCTGACAATCACAGTAGTGTCTCAAAGTGAAACAAGGTTAGTCAAATTGTACATGGATGATTGGACAGGGTATTGTTATTGTGTTTAGTTTTGGTCTGAATTTTTGCCGTATGGAAAACCCAATACTGAAAAGTTTGCAAAGTTTTATTGTCATTTATTTTAAGAGTGACAGCAAGGTATCATTCCTCAACGTCAATTTAGTTTTGCATCCATCAGTGGTCTGTTTGAGCTAGCATTCTGATCTGGAACACCAAACTGAAGCAAAACAGAAAATCTGATTCAATTCGGTGTTGTTAAATAGTAGTTGGTCAGCATTGAGCATAGTATCTGCTCGATGTTGCTTTCATACAAAGTAGTTTTCCCCTACTAAGTGCTTTGTAGTTAATGAAGAAAACCAAGGTAGTACTGAAAGAACGAGACGAGTATATACTATTGTTTATTTCTTAAATGCTGTCATACAATATTAATATTGACTCATGAACCAAGAAGACTAGGACTAGGAGGACTGAGGAACATATGTAATTTGGTTATAATTAGTTGAATATATTTTTCATATTTAAACAACAGCTGCATTGATTATTGGAGAATTTGGCAATTCAACTAATGTCCTTGGGCTTTGTTCCTTCACAGGGTCTGGTCGAAATATACTTTAGAATTTTTAGCTTGGCTATTGAATTTGATTTATTAATATTCGAGTAATCTGAAGATTTTTCTTTTGATTCTTGCTCATTTTCTGAATCAATTTGGCATCTAAGCTTTACATTTATCCCCTTGTGAAATAGTTGTTACCTTTGGAGAACATGATTTCAAAATCCTCTAATAGTCTACATGTAGAGTAAGAAATAAATCCATTATCCAACTAGTGATAAGACTTCTTTAGATCCACACACATAATACTATTCCTAAAATTCCAATGACTCGGTTGAACCATATATTCCCTATTATAAATCTGAATTACATATATATTATAATTAATACAATGTTAATGGATGTTTTCTCATTCAACATGGCGTAACAATGACAAAGAACCTAGCATTGCTTGCTTCTCCCAAATCTGAAATTTTGATAGAGAAATATGATCTAAACTGGGAAAGTTAAGACAAACCTCTCAAAAATATAAAATGGACACTAAAAAATATTTGTCTAGTATTCAGACATACAAAAGAACTAATGTAGACATTAGGGGAGAACTTCAAATGGCCCTTATCATGTGTGAATCTTGTTAAAAAATATGTCACAAATCAAGGATGTTATCATTGAATTTGAATATGTCATAAACTTCCAAGAAGGTATTTGCTCTACATGGAGAGTGATTAACTGGAAATATGATTACTTCATAGTTATCAATAGTGTGCTATAGTGATGTAGTGGTCCAGAGTGGCCATAGGCTACAACAAAGTTTTGAATAATGGCCATATTAGTTGCAGTCATGACCAACATAGTGGCCCTCGCAGTGTTTGGCCAAGGAATTTTGCAAAACCCTTTTTTGCCTTCAAAACTGCATTATTTTCAAGTTTCTTTAGGTGAGAAGTTGAGATTTGTCTCTCCTTTTAGAATTAAAAAAATAATAATCCCTAAATGTGTTTTCTACTGTGCAACACTCACATCTTTTGATTAATACTTACCCATCTCCATTAGTATCTTATAGACACTACTTTTTTTCTCACTTTACTCTGAAACATCCGTTTCAAACTTTGAACCCTCAGCCTTCTCTAATTTTTTCTCTGTACAACCCCTTTGATTCAATGCTTATTGCTTAAGATGAATATGCCTTGTATTCAAAATTTGAAATATGCATAACTATAGCAATAGTCTTGTCTTACTAGGGTAGTTGACTACATAAATCACATCATGCTATTGGGTTTGGTTTAAACATTTTGTTAGGGATATTATTCACCATGAGATTCCTTTTAATAATTTTTTCAAACTTCTTTATTGGTCATTCTCTACCCTTTTTCACAAGGCTAAAAATCATGTTATATACTCTTCCAAGTGATGTGTTCAATGTCTTCTGCATTTGTCAAAACAACCTTAGCTTATTTTTTGACATCTTTTATTACCTTTGAATTTTGTTTGTTTTCTTGACTCTTGTTATTATTACTCGTATGTTTTGCTTAACATAGTGTTTCTAGTTGTAACTTCCGGAAAATTCATGGTCTCGAAAAAAAAAATGAACAATATATCACGAAATTAATAATTGACAAAAAAATTCAACTTATATTTGGGAGATTAGAGCTCTGGAGCATGTTAGGTAGTCCTCCTACCTGGTTCGAAGCTGAGTATCCACCTTGGTTAGGAGTTGGATAAAGGCATGTTTGGATTGGGTGGTTGGACTGTCGGAGATGAGGCAATTGGCGATCTATAATAAGAATGTTCATTTTAGATTTACCTGAGTCATAATTATGATGCATAGTAACAATACAATTGAATTAAAAGTTTTTATTAAATTTATTAAGTTTATGGTTTTTTTTTTTAAGAAATTAATTTAACGTATAATATACCTTTTAAAATAGAAATAGAAGTCAAAGAAGTAGTTGGTGTAGAAAATTAAATCAAGACAGATGGCATCTTTGGGAGTAGAGGTTTTCTAGTTAATGTACACATCGAAATATTGTAAATCGATTGTTAGGTAGAAAATTCATAAACATTAGCACAATTCCTTCAAACACGACACACACCTCACATTCAATATCTACTGATTTCAAGGATACGTGGTATGTATTCAATAATTTCAATACAATTTTACTTTTCGTGAGTAAACTGTTCTAGAATCTTTCCTTTCTACATTTTCTCCAATTCACTTCGTTTTTGAATCATCGTTTCTTTTATGAGCTCAAATACATCCATTTCTTTACCACCATTTTTCGAAATCCATTTAATCATTTGTTATCTCTTTTTTTCAAAACTTGTACTTTTTTCAATTTTAGTGTTTGTTTTACTTAATTCTCACTTTCCAGCGTCATTCAATGTGAATTCTATCACTCATATGACATTGATGTTCAATGGAACTCAATAAAAAAACAAACATACCCTTTACCATATTTCTTCTTAAAACTCAAACTTATTTAACTTAATTGTATATCTTTGTTTCTTGTTACATTTATTCTTCGTAATTTAATTTAACGATGAGTGAATTACATTCAACTTCCTTGATATCCCTCGGTTTTATATATCTACAAAAACTGTCTTAATTATTTTAATAGTATTTACATATATTATATTAATCCCCTTAAATTTGTTGAGAGTATATCTTCTTACACTCCATCTAATTTTTGGGTCACCTCCCCGTCATTTTGGAATGGATTTTTTTAAACATATTTTTACATTTCAAAGTTAATTGGAAGTAACTTAATGATTTTATGCATGTAGAAGTTAAAATCAGTTAAAAATAATGCGTATTCCTATAAATGTGATTGTCAACGTTAAAAAATCAGGATATTATGGACAATTCAAAAAACCCTAAGAGTATAGTTGGAATTTACTCTTTATAATTAATCAAGTATGGATATAGTTTATGTTTTTGAGATAAAGTATGGATATAATAATAGAAATAATGGTCAATATCTCAATAAACGTTTAATTACTTAGTTTTCTTCATTTGAAAGCCACTCTTTTTGCTTGTTCTAATACAAATAACTCAGAATTTGATGGTTTTTAATCCCACAAATAAAATACTTTATATGTGTTTGTTAGATTCAAAATGAGAAGTTATTTTTTTAGAATTAGTTCATTCAACCGATCATCAACACTAAAAAGCAAATATATTTGAGATTCTTGTAAGAAAAACGAAAAGTGAAGAAAATAGATTGAAACTTGGGAAAAGAAAGGAAAGAAGTCAAAAGTGGGGTGGTTGTTATATCAATCAAGGGTGTGTTTTTATTGATTATTGCTCTCATTGATTTTTACTTCTTTTGACAGTGAGTAGGAGTGGTTTGTAATATTCTTTGATTGGAGAAATTTGTCTCTCACATGCAGCATGTGAGCTAGTTGTGTTATTACTAGTTGATCTTCATGTTTTAATGTGATTGTTCCATTTTGTACTGCAACCACCTAACAGCTCTCTTTCTATATATATAAATTGTAGCTAGCCTTGTATTTTATAAGCAGCACAATCATTGATTTGGATATGAATTACCATGTTGTGTGAGAAAAAAATTGTAGTCTAGACTCGTACCTGCTCCACCTTATTTCTAAAGACCTAACTTGTTGACATCTTTAAAGTCCACACATGTTTTCCTCAAGTTGGGGATGGAAACATAAATTTACCATCATTCTCTTTTCAAGAGAAGGAGGCTTCTAAAAGATTCTTCTTGTGCACAATGTGCCTATGAAATTAGTGGTGTTTAAAAAACTAAACTGGTGACTAGTTGACCTTAATTAAATTATAAAAAACTGAACTAATTAAAAAAATAGTTCAATGCACTACACTAATGGCCATCTATTACAGTTAATACATTTTGTTACTAATTTAATTTTAAAATTATAATAACTTTTATTGTTTTGAGTCTTCGAGCATCTCCAATGATGGGTAGAATTTATCTTGGATTCTTAAGTAGGACTCATAGTATCACATCATATTTAAACAATTCTCTTCAAAATTTTACAAATTCACTCTAACGGTGAGTTCTTATAAGTAATTCACCATTGAACTATTACTTTTGACTTTAATGGGATCTACTATGCCACTTCAGTAATAATTATAATATATAATTAATTATTAAAATAAAATAATTAATAAATTTAAATTAAAAATAAAACTGACATTGGAAATACGATTAACATTAATTAACATACAAAATATTAAACAACAACGATAATAAAAATAAATAGAAAAATATTAGGAATCTTCAGGTGAATATTTCTTTCTGATTTGTTGTATTTTCTGATCTGTTGAATTCTGTTGGTGAGAATCGCGGAATAAACTAAAAAAATTGGGAAAAATAACTTTTAAGAACGTTGCATCTTTGTTTCTATAAGATGTGGTGCTTAATTTTTTTAAATTGTTGTGTTACGTCGGATTATTCCAAGGACAATTTCTTATAAGTACCATTACTTATAAGCAACTAGGACCATAAGCAATTTTCGTTGGAATTGCTCTTAGGAGAAGGAGGTTGAAAAGATAGTAGACTGAAAAAAAAATTTAGTTATTATGTATTGTTGTTTTATATTATAATGTTATATTAAAAAGTAATTACTTTATAATGGAATTACAGATGCAGGAAGTGAGAGATGAAAAAAAGAATTACATAATCATCCTCTATCGATTATTGATGTCATCAATTCTTGGAAGTGATTTTTCAATTGTGATTTTTGGCTAATAAAATTAAATTTAAGTTGTAAAAGTTGATTCTTAAATATTATTTCAATATGAAGATTGCAGATCTCGTAGATTAACAGCAACACTGCATCGCCAGAAAGATGACAGTACAATCTATGTTACTAAGTGTGAAAAAATTTACCTTTCGTCAATGGTTTATTTCCTTCACTAACAAAACTGTCTAGAAAAAGTCGATGACTAATAAATGAATGTGTGATAAGAATCTCGTCCATATAAATTTTAAATTATACAATAGGTATGTGAGTAACCAAATAGTAAAATTTTTGTACTTGGGGCGTGACTAGCCAACAAACCCAAAGAATTTAAGAATTCACGTATCGACAATGGAAACATCAAACATAGGGTTGTATATGAATTAAAAAATTGGTGGGGTTGGTCAATTTTTGCGTCCTACCTAGTGACATATCTACTGCTAAGTGTTTTTCTTGCAGTCACGAGAGTTGTATAAAATATAAGCAACTCGTCTACCAAAATAACGTTACCAATCTCGTTCTATGAGGTAAAGAACCTCTAATTACAAGTATAAATTTTACAAATTATAACATTATTTTTTAAAATAAAAATAATGATAAATATAAATTTAAACTTTAAAACGAGTAATACCTCTATTGCATATTATCATGATAATATTAACGAACTTGTGATTAATTACATAAACTATTATATTGTTTCCAAAAAAAATTATTTATAAAAACATAAAATAATAAACAATAAAAATGTAAAAATATTTAATTAAAATTTAATAATGTAACTTTTAAAAATGAAGACATTATATATATATAAAACTATGGCAAAAAAATTTCTCTGTCAGATATTTTTTTATTATGTAAACAGGTTTAAAGACGATATTTTGATTAATTAACTGTCACAAAAGTAATTTAAGCACAAGCCCGTGAGTTAGGCACGGACTTTAACATTCTCCTTCGTGAAATAAGCTTTCTGTGAAGAACACATTTCCACTTTCATACAAAGCCTTTTGTGGTAAATTGTGTTAATAATATGTTTTTGATATCTTAAAATTTTATTCACGGGGTCCCTGAGTTAGAACCACATGTGTTAAATATCTTTTTATATTTAAAAAACAAAACTTTCAATAATTTTATTATTTTTGACACTTAATACTCTCAATATAGATATGTTCATTTCTTTTTAACAACAATTTTATAATTTTTTTATATATGGCATTGTCAACATTAACATTTAAATATAATGAAAACATTTGTTAGAATATGAAAAATACTAACTTTTTTTCAAGGCGACAATTTTAATATGGTCAAAATTTTTCAAATATAAAAAATTATTTAATCCATCTAAAAATAACTTCTTCACCTCACACCTTGTTTTTTGTTTTTTATTTTTCAATTCTAACTTATATTTTTAGTATCATTATCTATCTATATTTATTTAATTTGATCCCAATATTAATAAAATAATTAATCAAATATTTTAATTTAAAAAATGTAATAATATAACCACTTTTGATCAAATTCAATAAAAGCTAATACTTTTAAAGATTAAGAGACTCGATTAAACTTTAAAAGTGTGATATTATTGTACTTTTTAAAATTGAGAAACTCCATTGATTTTTTTATTAATAAATAAACCAATTAAGCAAACAAATTAAATAATAGAGAAAAAAGGTATTTAAAGTCCTCAAATTTTTTAGTCTTGTCGCCCTCAGTGGATACATATAATAATAATAATAATGGTTATATAAATTTTGGTGCATCTCGTCCTTCCATGAAATACCATAGTTGCTCCATTTTTATAGCTTTTCACATTCTGTGACACTTCACGTGTGATGCAGAGTCATATGTTATGGAGAAAGTGGAAGGACATGTTCTTGGGAAGGGGTAATATATATGCCATAGTTTTGTGTGTAAGCTAATTTCACTTAAAAAAAAAACATTTCATTTATTTTTCTGTGATTTTTCATGCAAAAAGTTTGTTGAAACGTTGATATTCAAAAGTTTATGAATGAATTTTATGTAAGAAAAAAAAGTTGTTTATGAATACGTAAACTTGTGGTTATTATTTGAAAGGCTGAATATTCTAATTTAATATTTAAATATGTAAAAAGTATGATCATTATTTTTGAAGTTAAATTTTATAATATTATTTTGTCATTAAATGTTTAAGTGTAAATATGATACTAAATTTTATTTTGTTAGGATAATTTGAAATTAAGCAATAAAATACATATTTAGAGACTAAATATAATTTTTTTGGACTAACTTTGAGAGATTAAATTATTACGGTAATAAAAAGTAAACTTTAAAGTGTTATATAGTTATCACAACATGTTTTAAAACAATAAGATGAACTAATTAATGACAAAAAAACAAATCTTCTATTCCAAATAAATTTATATTGGCCATATGTTGTTGGTTTGAAAGAAAATGAGTTCCGATTTCTTAATCAATGTTTCATATTCAATTTTTTTAAAGAAAAAAATCATAATGGAAAGAAAAAATCCCATTAAAATATCAATTAATTTCCTTTTGACTAAATTATCCATCAAAATTGTAAATATTTCACGATGACAAAAAAAATACTTTTCTTTTTTAGCAAATAATGAATTAAAGTGAGAACAAATTTGATTCTTAAATAACTTGTTTATTAGGTTTTTTAAAGGATTAATAAGACACATTTTCACTTTATAAATTACTTAATTTTTGTCATTTTTATTTAATACGGGACTTCGAATGTACTTAAATTATTAACGTTATTAGATATTTGAATCAACTTTAATCTAATTGAGATTTTTCTAGTGCCTTTAAATGTATATTAACATCTGCAAAAACTTATTGCATGACATTATATGCATATGAACACATCACCTTATTTTACGTATTTTTATTCCAAGAAAATATTAAATACATAAAATGACATGTGTTTGTTCTTCAATAATCTCATTAATTTAAAGAAGCCAATCCTCCTTCATATTTAGTTCTTGTTTTTCACGTTTCTATTAGGTCAGGATTATTCTTAATCAGCTCATACGCCTTAGTTCTTAATTTCAGCAAGCCAAACCTCTGGTAGCATGTGTTTAGTCATGTATTTTAATAAACAATAAAATTTTAATTCATAATTATCTTCTTAATTTAAAGAAGCCAACTCTTGTCTGCGTATTTTGTAGTAGTTTTTCTCGTTTCTTTTTTGATAGAATTTTTGTAATTAAGACATGAAGTTTTGGATTAATGGGTTCATATTCCCAACTTGTTTTATTATGGAGAAAAGTTTTGAAGTTGTTATCCAGAATTTTCAAGTTGATTAAATTGTTGATTGAGTTAAAAAAAAAGTATTTTGTAATTGTGGGATAATAGGATATTATATTAAATTGAATATATTCATATCTTTATTAATTCATTTATTTTTTGAAAAATCAAACATATCTTCATGATTTAATACTTTATATGTTCAATTATTAGATTCATTTTTCTATCTTTCTCTTATGTTTATAAAAAGTGATTATTAAATATTTTACAAAAATAAATTCAATGAAAAGAAATAAAAAAAATTAAACATCAATAATTATTAAAGGTAAAGTCGAGAGTAACTTCTACTCTTCTCTACCAGTTAATCCTCTAAAGTTGGAGATAATTTATTTATGATAAAAAAAATCTTATTTAAAACTATAGACTAAAATAAAAGTTAGTTAATATAAATATATATGAAGTGGGCAATGATTTTATTTAAATATAAGTGTTAAAAATAATAGAGTGTTTGGATGATGAGAGCACCAGTTGCTACGACGCTTTCGCAGCTAATTTATAAATCTCCCTCTAATCAGTTGTACGACACAGCTCACTAGTCACAATTGTAGTACAATTACACTCTCTCATCATCATCATCATCCATGGAAGCAATCATGGACGACCCTGATTTCCTCGACTTCTCCGATCACAGCATCATCACCACTCCTTCCTCCGACGAAGACTGGACCAACCTCTGGTCCCCCCTCGTCGATTGGGAATCCTTCGCCGCCGGCCCAGACGATTTTCAAACCCTCATTGACTCCATCATCCATGAAGACGACGACGTCGTTTTGACCCCAGATCAAGTTAGCGCCCAAGAGTCCGACTTAAGCGCCAACGACGAGAAGGGCCTCCGCCTGGTGCACCTCCTCATGGCGGCGGCGGAGGCCCTCACCACCGGCACCGAGAGCCACCACCTGGCTCGAGCGATATTGGTTCGGCTCAACGAGTTGGTGTCCCCCACCCACGGCACCAACATCGAAAGACTCGCGGCACATTTTAGTAGCGCCCTCCAAAACCTGCTAGACAGCGCCGCGACTGCGCATACCATAACCACCGACACCCCCAACCTCACGGACACGCTCACCGCGTTCCACCTTCTCCAGGACATGTCCCCTTACGTCAAGTTCGCGCACTTCACCGCCAACCAGGCCATCTTAGAGGCCGTGGCCCACGAAAAGCGGGTCCACATCGTCGACTTCGACGTCACCGAAGGGGCCCAATGGGCCTCCCTAATCCAGTCCCTCTCTTCAAGAAGCACCGGCCCACCAGGCCCTCACCTCCGCATCACCGCATTGTCCAGAGGCGCCTCTGGACGGAGATCCATCCCCACCGTTCAGGAAACCGGACGGAGGCTAACCGCTTTCGCCGCTTCCGTGGGGCAACCGTTTTCGTTTCACCAGTGTCGGTTGGACCCTGACGAAACGTTTCGACCTTCGTCTCTGAAACTGGTTCGTGGCGAGGCCTTGGTGTTTAACTGCATGCTGCATTTGCCGCACCTGAGCTTCCGTGCCTCAGGTTCGGTTGCTTCATTTTTGAAAGGAGCGAAGGAGTTGAACCCGAGGGTGGTGATGGTGGTAGAGGAAGAGGTGGCGCGCAGTGGAGATGCGGGCTTTGTGGGCCTTTTTATGGATTCGCTGCACCACTACTCGGCGGTGTTTGATTCGCTTGAGGTTGGGTTTCCCATGCATAGATGGGCCCGGGCCTTGGTAGAGCGCGTGTTGTTGGGCCCAAGAATAGGAAGTTGCGTGGAGCGAATGTACCGGAGTGGAGGAGAGGAGAGAGGGTCGTGGGAGGAGTGGTTGGGTGCGGCGGGATTCAGGGGAGTTCCCGTAAGCTTCGCTAATCATTGCCAAGCGAATCTGTTACTAGGATTGTTTAACGATGGGTATAGAGTGGAGGAGTTGGGGAACAATAAATTGGTGTTGGGTTGGAAATCACGCCGTTTGCTTTCAGCCTCTGTTTGGACTTCAAACTCTTGATTCCGATCTTTTACTTTCCTTTCTCTCTCTTTTTCTCTCCCATTCCATGTAATAAAAGGGCCTTTCCCTCTTCCTTCATTCTCACAACCTCAACCGTATGTGTTTCCTCTTCCCTTCAAAATTATATGCTCTCAACTCAACCATTTTTAAAGTTAAAATTGAAAAACACTCATCAAAGACTTGATATCTACTAGTTCTTCAGAGATAACTGGATCACTATGTTGCATGAAAACAGGCGTTGAATAAGAAATAATATCAATTACTTATGACTGCTTAGGATGGTAAAATATATGGATGCATTTCTCACCAAATAAGATATCACACTTCAAACTACTATATATATATATATATATATATATATATATATATCTTTAAGTAGTGATAATTGTGACACATTATGAAGAAATTATAATACTCGTTCACTCCTCAGAAACGTATACTAAGGACAGCAGAATATAATTATGAATAGGTTCAAACATTCCAAGTAGCAGAAGCCAGCTTTTAGGTTATGATTTACCAAAAAGCTTCTTCCTTAGTCTGATATGATCCCATCTGCATCTGCCCATATGCTCTTCACTGAATCTAAGACAATCCCCGGAGTGGCTTCTTTCTCTTATATTATTATTATTTTTGTTACATTATTTTTTGGTTCTGATAATTAAGAATTTTGTATCATGAACGTATTAATAAACAATTGGAAACAATAAGCAAGAGAAAAAAGAGCGTTTGGTAGGTAACATTTTCTCTATTTCGCGTGTCAGCCATTATAGAAGATTCTTGGGAATGTTCCCGTACAACAACGCAGTGTTTTGGGTTTGGTATCGAGAGAGAAGTAATTATGGGACTAGAATATACCCTAGTATAACTCCTATTTTATTTCTGTATACACACTGTTTTGTTTTATCTGTTAAATCAACCTTCTCAATGATCGTCACCACCCACGATAAGCTCAGAGAGATTACACGTGTAGCTAACATTCTACCTACTAAAAGACAAACAAACCCTACTAATCATCCCCATAAAGCTATTATGGCTTACGTTAGGTTTCATTCATACGTTTTAAACAATTACAAGTTTCCATGATGCTTCTACTTACCAGATATACATATATATTTGTTTTTTACATTTTAGTGATTGCTCTCGCGATTTTGCATGTTGTTTGGTATTTTTTATTTTTAAAATAGCTGTTTTAAGATTGAAAACTTGACAACAATATGTACATGGTGTAGCAAATTACAGGACATAGGAATCACTCCACATAATCGTTATTTAGCAGATATATATAGTTTTAGAACCCTATATGTTTCGACTATATATGATGACGTGCCTTGATTTAGATAAGTTTTTTTTTCTGTCTCAGTATGTTTGTTCTTATATCAATATTGTCAATTTATTTTGGTTCCTCTTCAATTTGAGTTTAGCTTGTGTAGTCTCTCTTTTAAAAATTGATTAGTCAACTATAGTCTTCATTATTAAATGGTTTTGTTAAGTGATAATGTAACAAATGGAAAGTCATATGGTGTCCAATTGGATTCTGTTTTATGTCCTATGTGTGATTTATGTGTTGAAGATCCGATGCATCTTTTTGTTTTCTACTCGGTGGCATATAATACGTGGATGGATGTTTTTTGCTGGCTTGGTGTTAATTTTGTTATGTCTTCTTCTTTGCACTAGTGCAAAAATGACATTTTACGTCACCCAATCATCGTCGTATGTCAAAATATTCGACGTAAATAAAACGCGGTGGCAATTTTATAAATAAGAAGTGAAATTTTTACGTCGTATATTGTAGGAGGTGACGTTAAAAACCTCTTTTACGTCGCACTTGGTACAACGCGACGTAAAAGAGAGCTTTTTAAGTCGCGTGGGGTGTGCGCGACATAAAAAGTGATACTTTTTACGTCACGTGGGGGGTGCTCGACGTAAAAAGTGATTTTTACGTCGCGCACCCCCCACACGACGTAAAAGAGGCTTTTTACGTCACGTGCTAGGGTGTGCGACGTAAAAAGTTCTTTTTATTCTCTTCCAGACCCACTCCCGCATCTCGCGCCGCAAGGGTTTTTTAGAACGACAATGAGAACGACGACGACATCTACCTTTCCACACCATTTTCGATCATTTTGGCAGTGAAGAACATCAACATTGTGTCTCATTTTACGAATTTGACATTTCTCCCTGATTGGATTCGAGTTTGAAATCGTTTTCGTGTTTACTCGAGGTTAGTGTTCTATATCTCTTGATATATGTTCAAATTGAATCCGTGATTGTTTTTGGGGATCTCAATCACGTCATTGTATGAATGTCTCCACTGGATTATTATTGGAATGTCATTATTTTGTTTGAGTGCATTTTCGATTTACACACTTCATTTACGTGCTTTGTTGTTTGTATATTAATTTATTTTTAAATATAAATTTTGAATCTCTAGGAGTGACGAAACTTTATAACATAATATGAATAGAAGTTGGATGAATGCACGTCATATTAGTGAAGAATACGAAAAGGGAGTTGATGAATTTTTGAAATTTGCTAATGAAAATGGAAAATGTATTGAATAATATATGACTTTTTTTCATTTTAGAACGTGTCTATAACTAATATTCTAATAGTGGAAAACCCAGAACAAAGACTTTGCAGTTCATTTATCCTAAGGTTAGAAACTTATTATAATAAGTGAATACCATAATTATTGTTTGTATTTAAATTTTGAAAATAACATTATATTTTATTCATCATTCCAGTGTAATAAGCAAATAGACTCATTTGAATGTGGTTACTATGTTATGTATTGGATGAGAGTCATAGTTTGTGCGGGTATAACTAATTCTTGGACGGAGGTAATTGCTTTCAGCATTAGTTAAGTTTATTTAACTTTATGTGTGTTGCATGTTTACAAGAGTCAAATTAATGTTTCAGGTATTTCAAGATCCATCTCCATTGCCAGAATATGATATTACACAAATTAGAGAACAATGGGCCAAATTTTTTGTTCAACAATTCTAGTACATAATTTTTTAAGTTCTTGTTCATATTATACTGTGTGTATTATGTAGTTTAGGTAGCTTAGTTTGTATTAACTTTTAGTTTGTAATAGATTTTTTAGTTTGTATGTTTGTATTATATTGTTTTATTATGTAGTTTGAATTATATAATATTATATTTTTAATTTACTAGCTAAAGAAAACTGAACCTCTGGACTGTCTGGTTGTAATATATATTTGCAGGTTTTAGTTGTAAAATAGAATCAACCCAATTTAAAAAAAAAAACAGCAAATTTACGTCGCATATGGTATATGCGACGTAAATTTACGTCGCGTATTGGTATATGTGACGTAAATTTACGTCGCGTATACCAATATGCGACGTAAATTTGTTGTTTTTTTCTTTAATTTCCGAAAGTTTTTACGTCTGTTTAGTGGTATATGCAACGCAAAATTACGTCGGGTCTTGATAACTGACGTAAATTTACGTTGGACTAAAGGGTCCGACGTAAATTTACGTCTCCCGTTTTAACGTCAGTCTTAAATACGACGTAAAAAGTCCTAAATACCTGACGTAAAAGCCCCTTTTTGTACTAGTGTTGGTATCCTTTTTTCTTGTTTGGTGTGGCCAAGTGAGGAGTAAAAAACGATCTTAGTACTTTGTTATTATTTGGGTTGCAGTCATCTGGTCCATTTGGTTGCATCGGAACTGTGTGGTATTTAAACAACGCGTTGTGGATCGGTTGAAATTACTTGATTCTATTTGTCTATATTCTTGGAAGTGGATCTCTTCGACTGGTATGAGAATGTCTTGTAACCTTGTAGACTGACACAATAATCCTTGAATCTGTTTTGTTTAGTGTGTTTTTTAATAACTTTTATCTACTTTGTATTGTACTCTATTTTTGGGATATGAGTACCCCTTGTACTCAGTTTAATTAATTGATGTTATTTGCTTATAAAAAAAAAAAAAAGTCATGTCATTAGTACTGCATATCACAGTATCATATATCATTAAAGTTAATACAAAATAAAATTGTTCAACATCAATTTGTTAATAGAAATAGAGTCTCTTGACTTATGCCGAAGCTATTTGACCCTAACTAGTTTATTTAAATAGGGTTTCCAATTTTTCAACATTTCTCTCAACAATTCGCATGATTAATAATTTTTGTGGATGGATACTTTCTTGATTGCGAGAGCGACTTGTGCACTATATATGGTTCTCAATTTCTAGAAGAACAGTTAAGAAAATTGGGTTTTGATATTTAAGGGGTCTTTGCTAAAAGCAAAATATGTCTTTCTACAACTGATATTAAAACCTAAGGTTTTAATAACGATTTCTTGTACAACTGATGCGGTTAAAAGTACAATTAAATTAATACCACCACATCATTCAGTTAAATTAACGAGTGAGAAGCAATGTTTATTAGTTTTTAATTTAAAGGTGTTCAATTTAATGAGATTTTGGAGAGACAAATCCTGTATGGTGAAAAGAAAATGATAATTACCCAAAATGGATCGTACTAAACCCTAAACCTTAATGTCATCAAAATAAAAGAAATTTGTTTATCCAACATTAGGAAGCCACAATAACGGATATATAACGCACATTTAAAGTGTTTCAGCATCAATTTGCAAATATACGCCATTTTTTACATCATATTACGCAATATATATAATTGTGGAAAATGAACTATATAACTGTTTCAACAATAATATCTCAACAAATTCAGGTTCATAATAGTTCTTAAGTTACTCTTGCATCTTACCAATAAAGAATACTTATTATTCTCATCATGTATTTTTTATTAACTTACAATTTTTATATTGTCCTAATTAGTTGTTTTTGTTATTCTAGATAATATTTCAATTTAGTTTAATCCTTATTTTTATTGCATTATTAAAAATATATCACTAAATAATAGTATAAATAAATCTCTTATTTTTCATATTTTATTTCTTTTATAAATAATTGATTATAACTTAATGAATAGTTTATCGATATAAAAATGTAAGATTTTTTTGTGTACCCATGTAAGAACTGAAAATCAATGTTCTTGAGTTGTATAGCATAATGATTTGTTTAAATTAAAAAGAGTACAACAGAATAATATGTACACGATCTTCCACTTTTATAATTTTTTTTAATACAAATCTTTATATATATAAATTTTTATTATTTTTCAGTGTCAATTTAACCTATTTTTAAGGTAAAACAATGTGGTTTTTTCGTTAAATCCATTAAATTATCTAATGAAAATTGTCATATATTATTAACGTGATCATATTTACTTAAACAAAGCTAACGTGACAAAAACATTATCAATAATTAATATTTTACGTTTAATATATATATATATATATATATATATATATATATATATATATATATATATATATATATATATATATATATATATATATAACAAGACTACATTAATGTTACATGACGTTTTAACTTAACAAAGTTATAAAGGAATTTATGTTGATTGATTTAAAAAAAATAAAACTAAATTGATACCAAAATGATAATAAGACAAAATTAAAAAAAATAAAAAGGCAGTAAAAAAAACACACCCTTTAATCATTTAAAGAATGACAAAATTGTTTTAGTCGCTAAATGTGTAAAAAATTCCTCAATTATATCATTTTATTAAGTTTTGTAAGACTATTTTATCGTGAAAAATGTAAATTTAAAATCAATTTGATATTAAATCAGGAACTATTTTATTATCAAGCTTTAATATTTAGGGACTAATCTACATTTTTACAAGCTAAATCGGATTTTTTCTCTCTCAATAATTAAATTAGCAGGTCTCATACATTCAAATACCAAATTACCCATTTAGAATTAAAATATTGATGTATTTTTTGTAGCATTAAAATAATGATGTATTTTAACTTTTCTTGCTCCGTTGAAGATACAATTTAGTTGGTTAGATAAAAAATAATTCAGTAACTAATTTTAATTATATATTCAAGAGTAAAACATATTCATTTGTTAGGGTTAGAAATGATCTTTTCAAGAGTTAATTCAATTCGATTCTTAACGAATTTCCACCATTAACCCTTGGTAATATACAATTAAATCATAATATAAAACTTTTATTTTATAAATGCATTGTAGTTAAAGCTAAATGACAACACGTGAAGATTCATTCCAGTAAAAGTATATGTACTATGGACCTTTAAATAAATATTCACTTATAGTTGTTTTGATTAGATAACTTGATGACAAGGATACAATAAACTGGACTTAAAGTTTGTCAAAAAGAAAAAGTTGAACTTCACTTTTAAACAATGATGCAAGGAAATGTCCTGCATGACCCACCTATACGCGGATACTTTGTTTCTTACTCTTGCTTTGTGTATAAAACTTAGCCCCATAAAATATGTACCAACATAATTAGATCTTCACGAAAACCAATCGTTCAAGATAGCTTCTTAACAAGGAAATAGCAGAGGCAATTCAAAGCTTAAAAATATAATCTCATCTTTCACTTTCTTATTGCTTAAAGTTGTTTTCTTTGGCTCCAGTACCTTTTGTTTGTGCTTAGTGATGTGTGAGTACGTGTAATGCATGTGACAGCATCCACTTGCAAATTTAACTAAAGAGAGCATTGCTTAGTGACCAAGGACAAAGGGAAGATAAATTTTGAGATGATCAGAAGTTGAAGCTTCCTCCGGAAACAAACACACTGATTTTGAAAGCCATTCTTGTATATGGTAAATGGCTAAAGGTTTAACTACAGTTCTCTATAGTTGAACATATTCCTTGCAAAGCCATGCCACTGAACCGTGGCCAAGGCCAAACCACAAGGTGGTATCAGCTATGTTTTGTTCCCACTAGTCCAGACAGTTCAGATGACTCAGACATAGAATCTGTAGTCCTTACTCCTAGTACAATAACTAGTAGCACATGGCAAGAACTTTCTCCAACGCCAACACTACCACCACCACCACCACCTCCTCCACCAAATCCTGAACCTCAGATTGATTGGCGTCTTCCACCACCACCACCACCACCAGATTTTGTACCGTCATTGATGCTGCATCAATGGCAGCATCAGCCTGAATGGACCGGGGCTTGGGAATATTTTAACATAGAAGTACAGCAACATAGCCATCAGGCTCCCAGTCTTAGTCGTGCGTTTGAAGGTGATAAAAGTGGGTGCTCAATGAATGCCAGGAATGGCCTTGGAATGGTAAGACTATCAGACATAGATAAACTCTCTAACTGTCCCATTTGTATGGATGAGTTTAAAGTGTGTGATCAAGCATACCGGTTACCCTGCAACCACACCTATTGTTCTGAATGCATTCTTCGTTGGCTTAACAACAGCAAAACTTGTCCAGTTTGCAGGCTTCAATTGAATGGTTATAGTTTTGATAGCATAAATGATAATAATGGTTTGGATTCACAACTTGATCTTCTGTCGCTGTCACCACCAGCAGTAGTTCATAATGATTTGCCCCGTAACTGGGAGCACTTCTTTCAATCCCCTCCCTCCCTTATGCCAGGTATAGAGAATAGCATAAATGATAATGATAGTTTGGACTCTGAACCTGATAATGATGGTTTGGACTCTGAACCTGAAACTTTTTTGTCGCCACATCCGTCACCACCACTATCAGTAATACACAATGATTCGCCCCTGCACACGGAGTACTTTTACGAATCCCGTCCGTACCTCACACCAGGTATAGAGAATAGTGCAAGTGGTAACTCAGATGTAGTGCATTTGGATGAGCTTGGCAATTCTCATGAAGATGGTGCTTCTCATAATGCTTCTGATACAATAATTTAACCATCAGTGTGATCAGTTTGTGACTATAAAGAACTTCTGATTATGTAGCATGTATGTCTGTTTCTTATTGTCGTGGTTTTGACCGCTACATAATTTGGAAATGTACTGCTTTGAATCAGAAATGCAGCAGAATTTTAGTTTAGATTTTAGATGCCATGTATAAATTTGGGAATTTGACGGATTTGAAAGAAAATAAATAAATAGTCTGCATATACCTATCTAATATATCTACTAGGGTTCCAGTTTTAATTGAATATAGCATCATGTAAATTTTGGTTAGAGTTATTAATTATAAGATGGATTAAGCTTCCGGAATAATAAGCTTGCAATTTCAGCTATTTTGATACTAATTGATAGTTTGGTTAGCCTAAAATGATATACCATGAGTACTATGAGTATCAAGACAAGAAAATGAAAAAGATCTTCCCCTAAATTATGCGAGATAATTATAGCATAGTGTTGAACATAAGTTTCACATGCAACGACAGAAAAAATATTTCATCAAACAAGTTTGGAACAAATATCTCTTCAGTGACATACATTTTCTTCTATGAATGTTCAACCAATATATGGTAGAATCATAAAAAGAAACATTGAACATGTAGGGTTGATGGTTTGGTCCCTTTTTAACTTTCAGGGGTGATTCTCTACTTATTATGATCTTCACAAGCATCTAGGTTGATAGTGAGAACCAGTATGGAACCCTTCTGCGTATGCAGTGTTCTTAAATGTACTCTGCAGTGGGGATCATCTAGTGATCAGAACCACAGTTTTTCATATGATAAAGGCTTATTACTGATAGAAGGTAAATGATAGTAAGTGAAAGGAAGCAATGCTCCAATTTCGTTCCTCTGATTTTCTGAAAAGGAAAATAGTTCACATCATCAGATACTTACAGCAAGATTAGCCAAATCTGAGATCAGACCTTTCCGTAGATTGTCACCCATCACAGCGCCCAGATTCTCTCCATGTTGCTTTATAGTAGTGTTTTCCTTGATCTATATGAAGGTTTTGTGAAGAAAGCATAGAAGTTTGAAATTCCAAGGCACACACTTCTCTATACCTGAGCAATCAATAGTCTTGATGTTTTATGTAGTGTTTCTTCAACAAATAGTTCAACATCAGCAAAGTTGCCTGATGATTGAGCTTTCTTGACCGGTTTCACCGTTGTATTTTTCCCATTAACATATGACTTGACAGCTTTTACTACATCAGAGAGATTTACACGTTAGCAAGACATTGACTCTTGTTACACTACTCACTGGGATCTTTAAGCTACAAACTTAGGGGGACTTATAAGATGCTTGCTTTTGCTTATTGGTAATCATGTTTGGTTTCATCATTTCCCATATCATGAGTATATGAAAACAGTAAACAAAGTACAAACAGTGTGATATTTTTGTAATCATTTGTGAAAATAGGAAATGAAAATTGAATATGCCTTTAAAGCAAAACAGGCCTAAACTTCTAAGGAAAAGCACAAGCGGCCCTAATTGTTAATCACAAAATTGGTGACCAACCGAACAACATCCAGAGCGAATTTATCCTATTCCAGCCAAGATTGCTTATACTTCAGACGAAAAGTAAATATGGAAGAAGATTCAGTTATAATGTACTACATTATGTTCTAAGGCTGCTCGTCTATGTGAAATCCATCCAAGTGGGAAAATAAGGGAGACAATGAGACCAAAAGCAAGTGCTCTATTTTTTATTTTTTTTTAAAAGTGTTGTTTCCATGCTTGTGGATAACAATGAATTTTTACCTGAAATCATCTTGGATTCATTATCCCCGGAACCATGGTTTGTGTCTGTGGGAACTTGTGATGAAGGTTGCTTTGCTGGTTGGTCAGGCAAATTTATTGAGCCTGATGGAACTAGAGCAGCTAGATCAGGTGGATAATCTTTCCCCACTAGAGGACTGGCCTGGAAGGGGATAAAGAAGCATATGGTGATTAACAAGCAACAATGACTAATAGGTTAGTTAATAAAAACAGGACAGGAAAGCCCCCTGAATTTACTCACCTCGAAATCAACATATGAGGGGTCCCTTCCTATTGGCTTGAGAAATGTGTCAAGATCATTAGAGTTTATAGCTGCAAGCATGTAGAGGATTGGACTCTAATTAATTTATAGACTAGTGTATTGCATCAAACTTCGAAGCATTATATCAAACTAGTTGAGCTAAAGGATATCTGCAAACTATTCGAGTTAAAGGTTGTCAATGAGTGAAAATGGACCCGAGCACTAACAGCAAACTAGTTGAGCTAAAGGATATCAGTAAGCTACAATAGACTACATAAATATTTACTTTAAAAGTGGTTATGATTATGAGGTAACATGAAAGTAATTCATTAATATCGTCAACTGATAACGGCAGACAGATCATAGTCTTAAGAAAGATAAATTACAACATTATGTTACTGACACAACACTCATGTCAAATGAAGATTAATAAAAAGTGATCATGTAGTAACTTTCAGATATGGCTCCTATTTAACTCAATATTTCTTATTCGACAATCATTTCTTAGAGATATGGTAGGCTTGTATGTTAACAGATACAGTCTGTTGGTTTGTCACACGTGGGTTATATGGTAAGCCGGAAAGGCATGTACTCAATAGGTCTTAGACCCATGATTTCCTCCACTGCCTTGCTGAGAAAGTAAGAGAACTATTATATCGAATGGCCAACAGCACTTTGGCATGAACGAAATAACATATATTCAACAGAAATTAGAAAGGAAGCATTTCATACCAAGTTTAGTGCAACACGGAATTCTATGATTTTGATGGTTTACTATTATTTGTAGACTATACTGATCATGCCCTAAAGCTATAAGTTAAACTATGAGAACTCTAGTCCAGGAATGCAACTTTATCTCACAAATGATTTCTTTCATTCTAGTCGTCCAACTTATCTTCTTTCTTGATTAAAGTATCATCAGCTAACCTAAACCACGGTTTCAATTATGCATCCATTAGTAAGTATAATTTATTTCATACACAAATTAAAATATAATACTGTCAGTGCTAAGGTTACTTCATAGAACTTTCAACAAATAAAGCATTATCCAAAAAACTGTAATACCATCCGTAAAAAAAGGGGTACAGTACAGCAGCATAGGGATTATGTAATTATAATTCAGAGTCCATTGTTTTCATATTCATCTAAAATCTAAACAAGGCTTCTACTATAGAACAACACCTAATGAAATAAATGCTTTTTATATAATTTTAACGGGTGTAAAAAATGTGCAACTGGCTTTTTTCAAGACGTCTCACTTACATATGGTCAAGTCATTTGAGAGTGGATGGGAAAAGCAATGTTTCTGATTCTTGAACCCTTGATCCAATAACAGGGAAACATGTCTTCAGAAAGGGAAAGATGTCATAACACTAATTAGTTTCTTTCAAATGCATTCACTGATTTAGTCTTAACATTGTTGGTAAACACACTAAAAGCATAAGACCACTACATAAGATGATTATCAACAAGCAATGCATTACCATTCTTTGAAGATGGGTTTAAGTTTCCCTACAAAACCAGTTTGTAAGATGAAGTTTTCACTTACTCATACACTCTATTTTAGTTATATCTCTAGATAGGTGATACATGTCCCTTCATGCCGAAGATTGGACATTTCAAGCGTAGGACTGATATTTGTGAATGGTTCCATAGTGAATGATATAATAGGTCTAACAAATTTTGTCAGGATAGACTTTGGTACCATTCTAAAATGTGAGTTTAAGTCTAGCACAACTCCACAAATCTGATTTGTAAAGTGAAGCTTGTACCCTTTTATATCCTTTATCTTAGTCACATCTCTAAACGATATGAAATCTCACACAACCATAAACAACTAGCAAAGCAAATTTTGCTACAGTGATGACAATGCTAATAAGAATGCTTAACATTATTCAATTGAAGGTCTGATATAGACCCAAATGAAAGAAAATTAAATGATTAAAGAAATATAGAATATAGTTAAAGTATTACAATATCATTTATAATATTATATAAACATTTAATTCCCTAAAGTGAGATGATGACACTTGTAGGGTTATCATTTAGTTGTTTGTATAGGTTACATAAGTGTATTTCTCTTTGCCTATCAATGATGAATGAAGAATATAAATGCTTATCTTTTAGTTTCATTTTAGCTTTAATGGTAGCTCTTAGGTATTTTATAGAAGCTTAGATTTAACATCCTATTAAAGGTCATTTCCAAGTTGATGATAAAAGTATCAATAAATTTGAATTTAGAGTTTTTCATTTCCATAAACAGAACTTTATAAGAAAAACAGTTAGTCATGGATTTCAAAATAAACTGTCTTCTTTATAATGAAATATGCAAATACCTCATTATTTTATGTTTCATAGCTCTTTATATATAATGTATAACAATTAGAAAACTTCATCTGTGTTAGAAAATAACTCCAAAGCAAGGTATTTTGATTAATATCAAGCATCGACATTTAACAAGAAAAAAAAAAAATTAGATATCTAATATGAAGGAAGAATAATGACGATGATGATGTATACATACCGTGCCGATTCATTCACTACTGCAAAAGGAGTGACACAACCCAAGGGCACCTTGTGAGTAAGAAAAAACAAGGATTTTGAATAAGTTAATGATAATTACAACCAAGTTAGTATATGCTACTACTAACTATTAAACTAATAAATGGTTTCTGCAACCAAGGTAGGAACAAATCCTTAAATGGGATTAAACACATTAACATCCCACCAACTCAATTAGAGAACGCGCCAATAAGAATTAGTTTTTCTGTGCACTATTAATGCATAGCATTGAACCGCATTTAAAGATCTTTTACACAAGAACTAAATTTGATAAACCAAGAATTGCACACAAATATAAGACATAAATGAATGCTTAAGCAACCACGGGATAAAAAATGACAAACCTGAACACTTAAAGCCTCTGAAGGTGCCATTCTTAGACCTCCTTTTCCTAAACTAAGCCGCTGAGATAACACTGCTCAGCTTCAACTCAAGAAATAACAATCATGAATATCCATTAAAGCAAAGACCAAACAAGTTTACCAAATTCCACTATGAAAGAACCACAAATTAATTCGTACCTTTTATATTTACTTTGGTGTTCTTTAAAGCAGAAACAAGATAAAACCGTTGTTTCCTGTCCTGTAAAAGCCGAATTAATCAGGGCATGGGCATGGCATACTCAAACAACAAAAGGGTGTTTTCTACCTTGAATTGTAAACTTGCATTACCTTCAAAAACAAACTTTTACTTAGTGCACCCCCCCAAATGTCCAAGATACTTTTCCTGAGTATGCACAATCCAGTCTACATTCTTTAAAATCTTATTACCCCTTCCTCAACTGTCAAAATAACTGGATGCTTATACAGGGAAAAATTAACTTGAAGCTCCTGAGAAACACAACACAACAAAATTCAGAATAAGGAATATAAAATTTAAGTCACAAATAAACAGTGCATTAGCGGCATCTTTATCACATGCAATGGGGATCTTCTTGCGAGCTAAACATGTCATTTATCATTTTGACATTCACAAACATAATAAATATTTAATATTTATAATTTTATCCTCAAACTTAATCATCATTTAATATATTTAAGTATATATTTATAATTTTATCTTTTCACCATTTCATCTTCTTTCTTCCTTTCATATTTATTTATTATTAATAAAATCATAAGAGCAAGAAAGAATTGATTGGTTCAAAGATCACGGATCATTGAAATTGAGTGACACGAGAAAATGAAGCATGCCCAGATGACAATACAGCAAGACAATTTATAATGAATAAGTGGGTGGTGGCATTTGCTGATTAGCACGAAGAAGAAAAAGAGAACCTTTAACCGCTCCAGAAGCTTTCCCTTTGTAACACCCATCACTTTGTAAAGAATTGAAGAGGTGTTTGCAGAGGGCAAAATCTCCAAATTGGTTACCCCAAGAGCTGCAGTGCACATTGCACCAGTTGAGTGTAGAAAATTATATATTAGCTTTGTTTTAGAGACTCTCACGTACTTTTAAAAATATTATTATTTTACATATAATTATTAAATTTATATAACTTTTTAGTTCGTAGTAAATTTATGAAATTTTGTGATAAATTTATGACAGGAGGTACTTGGTTCATAAGCCTATTTTGAGATATGTTAGTGGGAAGTTGACTAAAATTTTGTATTTACTATCTCTGCATAATGTTATATTATTTTATTAATTAAAATTTTACAAAATATTAAAAATAAAAAATTACTACTAATTTGATTATTATTACACCATTAACCCTTGAATTAGTGTATCTATCTATTCAATCAATGTACACTCTTCAAAATAAAGTTATCGTCACACTCTTTTAATACATTATTTTCTATATACTTAAACTTTTATTACAAATTACAAAATTAAGAGAAATTCATTAAATAAAAACCAACCAAAAATATAAATTTTCAGAAAAGTATGAATTACAAAATATATTTAAGAGGATATTCTTCGCTCCTCTCAAAACACAACTAATCAATATTTTTCCTTTCCCCAAACTTAACATAGTGTTTTGTTTTGTTGAGGGAACTACTATTGACACTCCCTACTTACTATTTAGAACTACAAATTTGCTGAAAAAAAAAACACATACTTTTGTTCATTTTCTTCTTGACATTATAGAAACAATTTTTTTTTTTTTTGTGATGATTTGTCAATTCAAATATTTCCGCATCATCTAATGGGAGTTTGAACAACAAATAAGGGGTGCGAATAGTAGGCTGCTTTTTTATGTGTGGGTTTAAATGTCCCAATTTCTTATATAATTTTCCTTATTGAATCATATTATTATAATATCATACAATTTACAAGTTCCACTAATATTTAATTTAATAAAAAAATTGGAAATCCAATTTTTTATGATGAGATAATTCTTGGACCTGCATGGAATGTGGTAGAATCGATTTATGAATATATCATGTCATTATTTCCAGGTGAAAATGAAATGAATTTAATATCATATGATCATAATATATACTAATTAAATAAAAAACCAACTTAAATTGTTACTTACTTGTTTGTTAGTACAAGTTTAGGCCTAGTTTTCATTTCCATTTCAATAGATACAATTTTTTCTTTAATATTTCGCATCTTCTACATATTTTTCTTAATGGTTAAAACCTAATTTTACTTTTATTAATTTATAATATTCAGTATAAAACACAACGATATATTTGTAAACTATTTTCAAAATATATTTTTTTACTATCATTAAAAAGATTTTTGTACGTGTAATAACACAACATACATGTTCTACGTTTAAAAATAAGTGGCATGATTTGCTTCGTACTTCTTTAATATGAATACAATTAGTTTCAATTAAATTGATTTAAAATGGAACAAAACTAAAACATGTGACCAAATTAATTACAAATATAACAAAATTTAAAAGCACGTGCATAGCACGGTCCCTTGAATATAAAACAAAGAAACCCTTTACGGGCCGTAAGGAAATCTCTTAGAACCGAAAACTTAGTCAACAGTTCACACATTTTAGACCAAAAAATTGTATTTTAGTAAAATTCTGTGGGCTGGACGGTGTTGTGGGCTTTGTTGTTGCAGACACAACAAGCCTTGGTTGTTACATCACAATACCTAACTGGTACACTTTGTCATGTGCAATGAAGCCACGTGCAAGCTAAGCAATTTCATTAAGACAATAATACTACTTTTTAAAATCCTTGAAATATATTAGCTTATTTATAAATTTAAAACAAAATAAAATATTTTTAAAATTATACGAGCTTTTTATAATTTTATAATCACTATAAAAAGGATAATTTCAATATTTTACTTTCTTTGACGTGTTTACGGAAAAATTGTTAAACATTCCTAAGTACTAAATTAAAGCTTCAACATTAATGCATACTGACATGGATCCAAATCTAAAAGAGTCATTGATAATCAAGGGTTAATATTTGGTTTTCGATTTAAGAATGAATTTGTGACTAAAAATACCATTTTATTTCTAAATGGACCAAACTTAAAGAGAATTAGGTGAGTGCCAAAATGAAGTCCTATAAATGCTTTTTTATTGTGTATATATAAAAAAAAATAAAAATCAACTCCTTTTATTATTGCTTAATAACAACTTCACTAAACGATGCCTTAATAAGGCCAAACCTGGATCATTAAACCCATGTCGAGTGTTGGATCTTGCCTTTCTTTTTCTTGGGATATTATTCTTTGCCACAATCATTATTATGTGAAAAATGAGAGAACCCACATGAAAACCCATAAACAATAGTTTCAACTTTTTTGTGACTACACAATAATCATGTCCCAAATGTCTTTTACCTGAAATCCCAACATGTAATCAACACAACAAATACTAGTACTATTACTAAACTTGAAATGACAAATACCAATAGTGGTCGTTTTCTGAATTCCTCATGCTAATAAAAGCATCTTGTTCCTTGGATTAGCATAAATTGGTACGCTCACCAAATAAACAATTTGCATACTTCCAAAGGGGGACTAATCTGCAGACAATGCCACACTTTGTTGGGTATAATTGCATTAAGCAAGGTAACCCCTTTCTTAATACCAAATAAAAAAACCTTTTTTATTAGGTAAATTACAAATCGTGGATTTGATTGACGGTTTGAGCTCACATGCTGTGTCTCAACATGCAAGGTTTAAATTGTCATTTAGTTATATCATTCTCATGTGCATGAAATAGAAAAATATGTTTAATTAAAATTCTTGCATTAGGGACATAATCCTAAGTAGGGCCAAGAATGTAGATGCATAGAAGCATAGGTCCCCTAATTGTAGAGTATAGTCAAAGGAATGGGTTGGTTGATCCTCTGGCCACTCTACATATCTATATGAACATGTAAGACCAAAAGCAAAAAGCTTTTTTCTGTACATTTCCATTGGGAGAAAGCACCCATGAAGGGCACCTTGTTGAGACCTGAGACCAGATACAATGTAAAAGGAACAAGTGAGAATGGGATCCCATGCCCTCCCCCATTTCATTAAAGGACAGGTCATGTGTGCTAACTTCTAAATTGCCTCAACCCTTGTGTTTCAAGTTCATACTTAACACCAAAAAGCATCAAACTTTGTCTTTCCTTCTTCTAATTATGCAGATACTATGGTTTCGTGTATATTTTATTGTCTATGCGCGTTAATCTTTCCATGAAACACCAATCAAAGTGCTGTGTTGCTTGCATCAAAACTCTCATGATTTGGAAATCATTGTTTCTTCTCTAGATACTATGTATATATGCTACTAATGCAGACAACGTATGGCATATTGAAGAACACAATCATTTATCTTAGATAGCTTAATTATTATCTGGGCTTTGCCCTTCATCAACTTAATTCTAAAGCATTCCCCAACCAAACCCAAAACTGTGGTAGTAGTCTCTGTTTAGAAGTTAGAACACTATTGATCAATAGGCTATTAAATTGAATCCACTGTAAGAAAAAGGAACTAGAATTTATTCATGTCCATGTGTTCTCACAAAATGCATGCAATGCTAAACTTAAAAGAGCTTAATTTTAATATATTATTCATGTAAAGATTTATATACAGTTATCAATGAAATTACTCTTAATATAATTTTGTAAATATTATTATAAAAATAATTTCATTATATAATAACTCGTAAACAAATAGATAAGAGTATAAAAATTCTTTATAATTGTATTCCAATCAAATTAAATTAAAAGATTGAAACAAAGAAAAATATAATTCTTCTTTAAGCATGGCAAGAGCCTAAGAGTAATTTTCTTCAAGATTGAGAGTAAATGGTCCAAGAAAAGACACACATTTCAATGGTTCAATTTTCCACATTTTGTACTTGTATGATTCCCCCTTCTCAGTGAATTAATGAGCATCTATCTCTGACATTTTGTCATGCAAATAACAGTTCCATTATTTAGTATATATATATATATATAAACTGAAACTTACTGTTTTTATTATTTTTTATCTTTCCAAATCATTAAACATTTACAATAGTAAGTTTAAAAGTCACAAATAGAATAGTTATTTATTGACTGATCATGTGATTTATTTGATATATATAAATGAAGCACAGAAATTAAACTCATAAAAAAATACGTTTCAAAATAAAAAATAAGAACGATTTGTTAACGTAATTTTGTGTTTATAAAACATTTCCGTGCAAATAAATGGCTTCCCCATACCTTGTATAGACCAAAGATTTCTTACAAAGTAACATAAACTAATAAAAATCAAAGAAAGTAATTGACACCATCGAACGCGTCTTCTTCTTAAAAAAAAAAGAATTTGATTATACATAGACATGGAAGGCCATGTTTTTCCCACTTCATTTATAAACTACATAATCATATAAAGAAAACTATTAATAATTTCGATATAACAAATATTGCGTCATAATACACATATATATGTAGAAATTCACAAATGGGAGACAAAAAATTTCTTATCCCATCCTGAATTTCTTCCCTAGAGTATGTAGTTTTAATTTGTTCAAAGTCAGAGATTGCTATCTTCATATAACAACACCTGACAAACGAATATGAATTTGTAAGCAAAAAAAATAAAATTGGGTTGGCTTGAAAATCTCTCAGCAGAAACTCCACAAACGGATGTCACTTTCTTCATACGGATCATCGAACAACTGTGTTGAATCAATGTCAAAGAAAGCCCCACTTAGCATTTGCTCAACATACTTTGGGGATTGCAACCCCTCCAAACCATACCAATATTCCATCATACTCATTGATTCATTTGCTTGATCAGAGTTAATTGGAGGAGGAGGAGTGTAGGTCCCAAATGGTGACAGAAGTGAGACATCATCATCAATTTGGTCTAAGGGAGATGATGACATTGATGATGATGAGGCCAGTGAAGAGGAAGAGGTTGAAGCAAGAGGAGGAGAAGGTGGAGATGATGGAGAAGAAGGGATGGTAGCAAAAGCATTGTCCAAAAAGTTGTTGGCAGCAGCTGCAGCAACTCTTTGGATTGATTTTGGGGACATGGCAGTGTCTTGAGGAATGTAGTGTGAAGAGCTTGAAGGGAAGTTGAGATTGGCTGAGGAACCCTTAAGGCATAGTAGTGCAGCATCATAGGCTCTTGCTGCTGCCTCAGCAGTTGAATAGGATCCCAACCATATTCTAGTTTTTTGGTTTGGTGCTCTAATCTCTGACACCCATGAGCCCCAGCTTCTCATCCTCACTCCCTTGTACTTCTTCTTGTTGTCACTTGATGCTGGCGATGAGGAAGATAGTGCATTCAGTGGCTTTGACGATTCTGCGTGGATCTTGTTCTCTGGCTTAACCATTATGGTAGAGAGCTCAAAGATGGCAGCTTTCTTCAGTGGTCTGAAAGTTCGATTGAAGATTGGTTTTTTGGTGTGAAGATTTGTTAAAAAGGTCTCACTCTTGCACTTTTGTGTGAAAATGTTGAGTGAAGATTGGTTCTTTGGTGTGAATGAAAAGGAACGAGAAGATTTGATGAAGAGTTCTCTCTTGCACTCTTGTGATGTGTGTGTGTGGCCTTTTGGTTTTCCTTGTTGTAAGTGGGGAATGGAAGCATGTGGAAGTGGGGAAGTAAGGAGGCTCTATTTATAGATTGAGACTTGGTTTCAAGGTAGAAAAATTTTCCATAGTCAAAAGATGGGAGATTGTTGCCAGATAGATTTTAGTTAATCTGAATTTAATACAGAGAACTTGGTTCTTGAAAATGACCTTTTTCTCCTTTATCTTAGTGAAGCTTCCTTCGGATACGTATTATATGATGGAGAAAAAAAAATAACTAGTCCATTAATGACGAACAAATAAAAAAATTCAGCAAAACCTTCATTCTAACCATAAAAAAAAGAATATCCTAGTAAAATAACTTGCCTACGGAGAAGATGCTACATCATCCAGGTTATTATTATTGTTATTATTGATTTTAACAGTTGAAGAGGGTGGGGAATTGAGTATTTTATGGTAATGGAAGTATGCAGCATTGTTGATTATGTAATGCGTGTTTTTGACAGTGAAGTTTGCAGAGCAGTTACAAGTACGACCAAGACTATGGACAACCATGAATGAACAATTTTTCAAACTTGAACAACATTAACTTCACTGTCCGTTTAAAGTCTGATTTGTCTCTGTAGTGCTTTATCTTCCTTCTACCAGTGCCACTCAATAATAATCTTCTCTTAATAACTGAAAATGGTAACGATACATTTAATACCACTACAATTTTATTGTTTTTTAAGGAAATTATTAATTATATATACACTGTAAATGTCAAATAGTTTACATAGTAATCCAATCATAAAACACGCTTGATATGAGTTTTAAGACAGCTATTAAAAGATCATTTTCTTTACTTTTTTTTACGCGCCTTATTTTTCTATAATAAATATAAATATCGCTATAATTAGTTTTGAAACAAATTAAAAATAAAAACTCATTTTTTATTGAACAATAAAAAATCAATTAATGCTAAAAATTAAAATTTAATTCATAATGATTTTAGTATAGACATAATTGTTGTGATCAAATAATGTTTCCTCTGTTCTAGTATTGTTGTGGTTTATAAGGTTTTGTCATATTAAAAATAATAAATACATTACTTTTTGAAATAATTTTACCATAAAAGGATAATTAATTTGAAAACATATTAAAAAAATTAATGCTTTATTTAAAAAAAATTAACAACATCAGTTAATTTTAAAAAAATTATACTACCTAAAACTGTGATATTTTATGAAACTAAGGGGGTATACACATGTATAGCTTTTTTTCTTCTCTGTATTCCATAGTAATAAATGTTGATATATTCTTTAACGTACTTCAATACATTATATTATTTAAATTATTAATACAGATAGCATCCACAACATTAAGTAACTACTATCAATTAACAAATTTAAATCATTTTTATCCCACATAATTAATTTTTAAATTTTGTTTATGATTTTCAATAAATATTTTTCTTAATAGAATTAGCATATATATTTTTTAAATGCTATTTAAAAAAAAATTAGTGAATAAGATATAAACGACACTATTTTCTTTTGTAGAGTTTAAAAAAATTATAAAAAAAATCTTTCTATTTATATATAATCGTCACTTTTTAAAATTTCATAATTAAAAAATGAAAGAATTAAAAAAATAGAAGAGATACAGACATTAAACAAAGGAAAATGACATTATTCATATGATATTAATTAGATTTTTCTTTGAAAATATAATTTAAATGAATATAATGAAAAGGAAAAATGTATGAATAATATATGTTGAGAGAGAAATAAGAATGTGTGTGTGAGGGGCAGCTTCCAGGATCTGCAGGTGCTGATGTTTGCTTAACAAGAATTTGAGGGTGATAAGCCGTTATGAACAAAAAACTTCACTCAAATCAAAACAAAACCCTTTTGTTTTGCACTCTCACAGCTGTGGCCACTCTGGATTCATCTCCAAAACCGCGTCCTGGGCCCCCGTTTCCTAAATAAAATGTGCCTTATTTTATGTCTCACACCAAACAAGGACTACTTTTCAGTATTTCTATTTAATGTGCTTTGTAACGCATTTCAATGCCTTGTTTGCTATCGCCTGCGTTACTTGACTTTTGCACTCTTCTTTCTCCCTCTTAACTTTTCATTTTTTTTTTTTTAATTTTAAGGTTTTCTATTGATTCTCTGTTTGGTACGGTGCAGGACCAAGTAGTTTTGGAAAAAATGCCACCACACATGCATGGCTGACGTATGTCCAACAAAACTTCATATAAATAGGGTTATGCAATGAAGAGAATTGATATTCGTTTTCCCTCATGGTTTTAAAATTTAATCTAAGATTTGTGCATATTATAAACTTGTTATAAAAAAAATATATTTTATTATCTTAAGAATTAGTGGTCAAATTCACACGTTCAAAGAGAAGAAAAAAGGAAACACCTGTAAAAGGCTACCAAAAAAAGGATGATGATGATGACATGATCAAGAAACCAAACAACTCCAATTGATTTGGCTTTGACGGATAGAAAGACAATAAAGGTTGTGCTTAAAATTATTTGTGCTATTTTAACTTTTTTGCAGATGGTACGTTTATCATAAATCGAATATTTACTAGCATCATTTTCATTTAGCTACTATTGTTGTCTACAATCCATTCAGATTTTTCACAATGGTACAAATATACATCTCACCTCATATCATCTCTCTCTATATATAAATAAATATTGATATTTTTAAAATATATTAAACTTATTAATTTAATTAGTCTAATCTGGTTTGTTATTATTAAAATATTGGAATTCAGTTAAACCCATATAAAATTGTAAAATAAATATAAAATAAATAGAAATCAGTAAAATTGGTGTGTTTTAGGATTTAACCGGTTTTGATATAAATTTTAAAATCAAAATATTTAAAGGATAATTTTCTTTTGTTTTTTTATTTTTTTTCTCTCATAAATTATGTCAATTTAAAATAATGATTTTTTTAATGTATCTCACCATAATTTAGTTTTTTATTCTTTACTACGTCTTATTTGGTAACATTTCTTATAATTTATTGTAATTACGATAATGATTTTTTTATTATTATAATTTTTTTGTTTGAATTTTATTTTTTATTAATAAATTTATTATATATTTTTTTATATTATTAAAATATATTATTTTATTAAATCTATTTGCTGAAATCTTTAAACCAACTCGTATCTTTACTAATTTAGTGATAAATCCAATTTTAAAAAATTGATTAATACACTTAAGGTAAGAAAGAAATCATCTCTTAAGAATTGCACACACAAATTGAAGTACTTTTTCGTTTCTTTGACATTTGATATAACCATTAATCACAATTAAATTCTTTAAAAGTATGCAAAACTCTATTTTACAGAATAACTTAAATTGTTTTTTCTTATGTTAATAATTAAAATAAAAGATAATCATATATCATATAAAATTTGTGACTTTAAAAATAGATAATTTTTCTTTTCTATTTTTTTTATGATTTTTTTATTAATATAGTTCATTACTATGTCTTATAATTCATTATCTTATATAATAAAAAGAATATATTAATAAATTATTCCTATCTCAGATTTATTAAGATAATATAAGTTAGAATTTGATGTTTTTTAAGATTATAAAATTAATTTTAACTTTAATTTTCTTTTTTTCCTCGCTAGCTGAAAAAAAAAGTTAAAAAAAAAACATAATATAATATTTTACTTTAAATGTCTTATCGATTTGAATGAAAAAAAGGATATATAGTTCAAATCTTACTATTAGGTCACATGTCCTCAATAAATAAATATACATATATATATATATATATATATATATATATATATGTATATATATATGTATATGAAGTACAAGAATAATCCTTTTTTTTCTATTGTAAAATTGAAAAAAAATTAAGAGATATAGTACTTATAAGTTTAATAGATCAGACTTATATTAATGATATTAAGGATATGAAATGTTCATTAATCTTATATATGAAACTTTTTTTTTTCATCTATCAGACACCTATAATAGGAATTTTTTCTTATTTTGTGAAGAATACATCATAGATTTAAATATTGATGTACTTTAAATATATAAATCCATGAAATAAATAATTATATTGAAACCAAAGTCAAACAACGAAAGGTCAAGAAGGATCAATATCCTTCCTTGGTTGCTCCCAACCCAAATGTACTCCTCCTTTCAAAATCTATATTCATATCTCCATCATCCCTAACAATCTTCTTAGACTATTTACTGCCATTATTTACAAGCCATGACCCAAACCAAAAACCTCAAAACCCACAAGCTTAATACATCTTCTCAAGAATCATTAGAATCTTCCCATGATATTTAACCTTCACCTAAAAGGCAAACTTCTCAAGATCTACCCGATCCTATTTTCTGAGACTCACAAGACCCGTACTCATAGATAACCATAGAACCATATTCTACTTCAATTTACCAAAACACTTCAACATTATTAATCTTATGAAGATTTGGGAGAAGAAGAAACAAATTACGTTGACCTAACTCAAATATTGATGATTAGCACATCCAGATTAGAGGTCAAACATAAACCAATATATGACTCTCTAGATGAAGAAGCCAACTTTACCAAAGTAAAAAAAATAATACTTCTTTAAAACCTAACTTGGTTCACCATTGATGATATTCCTCCAAACTAATGGAGAGCTAGACATAACGTTGTGAGACAGTTCAATCTATATCTGGTATGGATGTTAGAGCATTGAGAGGATATTTCCCTAATACAAGAGGATCGGGAAGTATGCACCTTTGGTGTGCCAGTTATCATGCCCACGGTAAATG